CCTGCTTCCAGCCAGCTTAACCCCTCCTGGGTTCCAGGTGAGGCCTCATTGCAAAGTCCTGAGCTGGTGAGGAGCAACCCCAGGCAGCAGTGCATGCTCGGGGCTGACCAGCTGGAAAGCAGCTTGGCAGAAAAGGACCTGGGGGGTCCTAGTGGACACCAAGTTGGAGATGAGCCAGCAATGGGCCCTTGTGGCAAGAAGGCTGATGATACCATGGGCTGGAGGAGTGTTGTCAGCAGGTTAAGGGAAGTGATCCATCCTCTTTTCTCAGCACTGGTGAGGCCTCACCTGGAGTCTGTGTCCAGTTCTAGGCCCCCAGTACAAGGGAGGCATGGACATACTAGAGAGGGTCCAGTTAAGGGCCATGAAGATGGTGAATGCACTGGAGCATCTCTCCTATGAGGAAAGGCTGAGAGAGTTAGGACTGTTCAGGCTGGAGGAGAATCAGAGGGGATCTCATCAGCCTGTAGGAGTACCTGAAGGGAAGGAGCAAAGAGAACGGAGCCAGGCTCTTTTCAGTCCACCCAGTAACAGGACCAGAAGCGATGGGCACAAACAGAAACACAGACATTCCGTCTGAACATCAGGAAACAGTTTTTCACTGTGAGAGTGACTGAGCATTGGCACAGGTTGCCCAGAGAGGTTGTGGAGTCTCCTTCTCTGGAGATATTCAAAAGCCATCTGGAAATGGTCCTGGGCAACCAGTTGTAGGTGGCCCTGCTTGAGCAGGGGGTTTTGGACCAGATGACCTCCAGAGGTCCCTTCCAATCACAACCATTCTATGATTGTGTGGCTAACACATTATAATCAGGGTAAAAGAGACCATCTGCAAGAAAATTTATAAGGAAATCAGTGCTATTAGAATATTAATTTTAGTTACAATCTCATAATTTGTTTAGAATAGATTAAACAGTAGTTTCTGAAAGTTTAGTGAGCTGCTCATTAGCACTAGTGCATGCGCCACTGAGGATCATCTTTGCTGCCAAGCAAATATCATCTTCTGAGAAATAAAAAGGTTACTTTTTCTTGGACTAAAAGCAAGTTGTAGCAATTACAAATAGCATTCAGTGCTTTCAAATAATTATCTTTTTGAAGCTAACTAAACCAGTATTTCTGTTAAGGAGAGATAAAGCAATATTTAGGAATGCTTTGCAATTAAAATTTTTAAAAGAGAAATGGTGGCTGGCTGGAGATAAGTTATACTTAGTATCAGGAAAACATAAATACTCTGCTACTTAAATGACTTAAAATATTCAAATCCTAATTTCCAAGCAAAACAAAGGCATGCAATAATTTTTTATTAAATAACTTAAAGGGCTTCAAAAGCTTTTAAGGAGGCTTAAACAATCAGCATAAGTTACTTACACACTCTAATGGAACAGGCTGCCCAGGGAAGTGGTTGAGTCACCATCCCTGGAGGTATTTAAAAGACGTGTAAATGTGGTGCTTAGGGATATGGTTTAATGGTGGACTTGGCAGTGCTAGGTTAACGGTTGGACTCAACGATTCTATGACTAGCAATCTTTATTCTTCAGATATTCCACATGCTCATGTTGTCTTGCCAGTCTCTGCAAGTAGCAAGTTTGTCAGAAATGCATGAGACTGATGATGAGAATTTAGATAAAGAAGTAACAGAAGAGGAATACCTGGATGACAATAGCAAGTGTGAAAAGTGACAATATTTCAGAGTCTCTATTTTTTCCAGAACTGATTTCTTCAAGCTATATCTTAAATTGCTTTTTCTTACCTCTACTGCTATCAGTAGAGACTTTGCAATTGAACTTGAGATAAAGGCCATCACAAGACACCTTTCCCCCCCTAACAGCTTCTAAGGCTTTCTGCTGAGGCACAGGTTTTCTAGTTTTCCTTTCATGTCCCATTTTCCCCAGCCTGAGAAGAGGTTAGTCAGCAGGCGTTAAGATACAACATTGCAGGTCTTGTAAATGCATTTGTTGTGCATATACTTGAATAATTAGAACTTGTCATTTCTTTTTACTAGACACAGAAAGTAAGCATCGTAGATGTGGAGGGGACCTGAAGACAAGAAGCAGTGAGCTAGGATCTGCTGTCACAGGATCATCTTTGACTGCTGTTCTTCCGGCAAGTGTTTTCATGCTAAAATAGGTGGTGACTCCGCTACCTTTTCTCTGTTAAATTTTCCTCTGTACAGATTATTCTTGAAGTCTTCATTGATAAATTTTTGGCCTAATTCTGGACCGAGTTCCTTCAGTTTCTGTTAGTTACATGGAAAAAGAACAGGGAACCACTCAAAAGTGTATACAGTGTTAGGCTATTTACTTTCTGTGCTCACAATGTGTGTTGCTGGGATTTTGGTTTTTTTGGGGGTTTTTTTGATCATCCACTGGTTAATCCCCTTTCTTTGCCAAGATGAAAATTAATACTGGTTAAGAGTGCTTGAGTAAGGTCATGCTGCATCACGGAAGGCATATGCAAAACAACAGATCCAGCTGTTGGCATGGAAGCTGGAGATGATAAAAGACTGACATAGATGAGGTGGAACCCACATGGGAGAAGAATAACAGTGAATCAGAAAATATGTAGTTTTTAGAGACATCAGAATGGTACTAACAACTATACATGCATTCAGGCATTCTTGGTGTCTCCTGGTCTCCAAGAGATGCAGGTAGAGACCAGAATGATATAAAACATCCATTCAGAGTCTGGGGTAAGACCAAATGGTAGGAGGCAAAGGTGGATGTTGGCCAGCTTTTTGGCTTTTTAATACATGAGTAAATGAGGATCAATAAATTGCAATTCCTACTTTAGACTACTGGAAACAGGATGTAATTTATCTTTATTTCTCTCCAATAAAAATTATGAGGTACAGAAACACTCCAGACATCCCCAGACTCCAGATACTCATGTCAGTGGGAGCTGTGTATAGAAGGAAGTGCTCAGTGCAGTGGTGACTTTTTTTTCTAAATCTGTGGTTTTCTGTATGGCTTCTGAAGATTATCTGTTGACTTAAAAATGTTATTCACCATATCTATTTTCAGTCTTGTTCACACTGTTATGAAGATTTTAAAAAATCCTTTGTCTATGTAAAATTCCCTCTTTATCATTCTGCTATTACCTTTACATGACCTGTGTATTAAACATCAATTGTATATTTGTTCCAGTGGTGACTGATTTTATAGCGGGTTTGTTTTATTTATTTCCTTTGAGGTAATAACTTGATACTATATGTTAAAATGCTGGCAGTACAGAGATGATCTGGTCCTAGATCTGGAATATGGACATAGAGAAGTTTGGAAGCTGGATTCACATAGCTGAGATTTGAATTAGAGCCTTTATAGTGCTAAATTTCTATTGTGACCTTAGCCTGGATCCACATCTGATTCTTATGTCCTGATCTGAAGTTTCCATAGTATCAGCTTTATACTGAGAAATAATTCTGTCCTAACAAGTTAATTACTGATCTTTTCCCTTTGCATTCCTTAGATGGAATTTTTTTATGTTCCTGCTTGAAGTAGTTTATGAAACCAGCTTAAAGAACAGCAATATAAAATACAATTCTTAAGTGAGGTAAAAGAATCTCTCCATAACAAACTTTTATTTTCTAGACAACTGGTAAGAAAAGTATAGTACTTTCCAGTGAAACTAGGAAAGAACTAGCCAAACAAGCCAAAGTCACCAAAGAGGAGAGAAGAGCTCAGATAGATGAAAGACACAAGTATATGATATCAAGATTAGCAGATGGGATAGGCTTAAGTGAGCAGCAAGTGGAGGCCGCCATTATTTCTGATGACGAGGTAAATATTAATTAAATTATTATTAAATATATTTCCAAAATTTCCAGTCTTTTGAAACTACTTCACAATTAACTACAATTGTAATTTTGTTTTTAGTTTCAACTTATAGAACAATTTTTCGCCCCTAATGGACTTAAAAAGTTGCTCTTCTTTTACCAAGATGTATTGCAGGTATGTTTCTGTCATTACTTCAGCAAAAGCAAAGTTACATTTTTAAAAAAAATTACATGACTGTTGCAAAATTCAGAAAATCTTAACAGATTTTTGTGCTATGCATGCCAATGTGGAAAGAACTTGGTTCTCATTGTTTAGATACTGCCATGTCAGCTTACATGAAAACAGGAGAATGCTCTGTTGGATGTTTTGATACTGTTGTTGCTTTTACAAAATAAAACTTAAAAATAGCAAAGTAAAGTAAAAATCCAGGCTTCAAAAATGATAAAGATAATTGAGGCAAAGTGTTTGCAGTGTTCAGAGTTTAAAAATACTAGATTAGCTAACATAAATATTATAGGAATGGGGGAACTGTCTGTATAAGAACAATTTTGTCTTTTGGTTTGAACTGCACCAACTCCACTATGGACAAAGCACTGATTCAAGAGGGTGAAAAATGGTGCAATTTCTTTCTAAATTAAGGTGACTTCATGTCTCATTCTGTGCAAAATAATCTTAAGTTTGGAAAACTAGAACTAGAAATAAGGTAGTTGTGGTTCCCAAGATTTATTTCTCTCTCTTTCAATTTTGAGAAGGAGAAGCCTCTTCGTAAAAAGCAAAATCATTTCTTCAGCTTCCACTTAGTGCGTGATATCAGAACATGTCAAGCAACCTTGAAATTGCCTAACATGACTGTTGTGGGCTTCCTGAACAGCAGAAATCATTCCTCAGCCCTTTCAGGTTATGCCATTGAGGAGCCATGTGAGGCTGAGCTAACTCGCCATGTGGTGGTATTTTAGGCTTGTTGGGGAGAAAAAACTGATTGATAATGCTTGATCATCTGTTTAGTGCCAGAATGAATTACAGATTCCTTATAATTTATATAAGTTAAAAGCACTTTTGAGTGTCACTGGAATTGCTTAGAGACTTTGCAAAGCACAGAATCGGCTCAGATGTCAAAACAGTTTAGTCAGTTTTTCCTTTCACTGGGACTGTGTATGCACATTTCTGGGATGGACATGTCCTCTGACTTAAGACAAGATGAAACTAAAAATCTTGAAAGTTTTTTCCTTAGCTTACAAGCCAGAAATAGATGCCCAGCTTGGATTAAGTGAAACATTTCATTTCTGCATTTACTTTTGTTTTATTTTAGTCTTTTTAATCACTACAGTAAGAATTTATGAAAATTTTGTTGCAAAAGCAGCATAGCATAAAAATAAACGTTTCTGAGGGAAAGTATGAATGCCATCTCTAGCATCTTCCACTCCATTCTGATGAGTCAAGAGATCTCATTAAATTGACTGTTCTGTCAACAGTTTGGTTTCAAAAATATTGGAGAATTGTAGATTACTCAGGGCAGTATCATGCATGCTTGGCCTGTTTTTATCCATTTTTGGCCATTCTTGGAGACAAAATACTGACTGTGCAGACCGTTGGCCTGACCTAGTAGCCATGTTCTTACCAAGATTTGTCAAAGATCCTTTCTTCAGTCCTGTTCATCTGTCTTTTTCACCAGTTTGGGTGCATGATGGTCACTTGAGACTGTGCATAGATAGAGGTTAGAAGATGCTGATTTGGAGTGGAAGTTGGGACCCACCATTGCCTATCATACATCACACATTTAGTCTAGCAGGAGCTGAACATTTGACTTTTTAGGAAGAGGCCTCTCCTCAAACTTAAGAGAGAAATATACCTCTAGATTTCTTCCATGTTATTTTGTGTTACATTCTTTCAAGTTTCAACAGGTTATTTTCCAAAATGCATGACAGAAAATTAGAGGGAAGCAGGTCTTTATTAGGCTTAAACTTTTTTGTTGCTTCAAAGAGAAGAGGTTGTAGTCCCATCTCAGTGGAGAGAGACCAGTAGCAGCAAGGCTTCTTAGAGGGAAAGTTTTTCAGAGTGATGTATGGTTAAAGACATGGGCAGAAAACTAACTTTCTTTGCTTTGATGGCAGGATCTAGCTGACAGTGTTCCTTGTGAGTCCCACTCACAATTACATTATAACTTTGCAGGCCAGGCACATGACTCTTTCTGTGAGACTTCCATTTTGTTTCCATGGAGTCAGTTGCTTTAGGAAACACTTCAAATTTAATTTCATTACATTTTTGGAGATTTTTTTTCCCCTTCTTCTTTGAATGTTTTCTGAAAGAACAGGGTTATGAAACTGTTTACTGAGAATTGTGAGATTCATACAAAGCTTATTCTCCAGAGAAACCCAACCTCATGATTTCTATCTGGGAATTACTAACTGATTCAGAATGAGCTTAGTTATAATTCACATATTCAAATCGGATGAGGTTTTTTTTGACAACAGTTTTTATTTTATTAACCTCCTATTTATAATTTAATTGCTAGCAGAAGTCGAATGCATCATTGAGGTCAGATGGCTCAACAAACAGTTTGCTTCAGAAGAAGTTATTTATTACCACAGGTTCTACTGAGGTATGGTTGAAAACTTCATTAGATGACATTTGAAAAGTAAAACATTGAAAAAAACATAACAGTTGTGGAGTCTTAAACAGCTTTTTGTAATTCTTGGATAGATATTTAAGCACTTAGTCTACGTTCTCATAATGCAAGATCTCACAACATTTCTTGAACTGAGGTTAGAATTCACCAGTAATTAATGGATTGGACTATCTGAGAGGAGAGCAGGTCAAATAAACCTGTATTAAAAAATTACAGATACTACAATTTTGTTAATGACTGCATGTTTCAGTATTTTCCAGTGCTTGTACACTTCCAGTTTAAAAGTGTGGTTCTTCAGTGGTTTTGTATTTTCTTTCATGTAATAATACTGCACATTACTCCAAAAATACCTTTAATAATTCCTTTATTCCATCTGAACTCTTATGACATCCTCTTCACTGTAATATCTAAGCATTATTGAGCAGTGTGTTCAGAGTCATTAAGATTTCCGATTAATTGTCTTTCTTTCCATCTTTTTTTGGGGGGAATGGGGTGTACCATATACAATTTTCTTTGAATATGGCATGGTTATGTCTTCCCCTCCACCCCCCGAACTTTAACATTGTTGTGTTAGAAAAGACATAGCTGAAGAATCCTTTCTTGCTTTCAGAGGAGAAGTGAGGTTCATTCCTCTGCTAATTGGATCAATTGGAATGCCTTTTCAAATTTGTTACAGAATTATTATTAGATTTAATAGATTAAAAATAAGCATTGTTGCAGTACTGATTTGAAACTTTTACATTACTTCAGTCCATCAAAAAGATGAAAATAGATGTTAAAAATATTTGGATCAGAAGTTTTTAGTAATCTTTAAGTTCCCTTTTTGAAAAATGAAGTAAATGTCATTCTAAGATGATCCATTCTGGTCTAGGTATCTATGAAAAGTCCTTTAAATGTTTGAAAGCTGAGGATAGCTTTAGTTTTTTTCAGTTAATTTATGTTGGCAGATTCAGAAAGGGATTAGACAATCTCATGGATAGGTCCATAAATGGATACTGAGATGACTAGACAGGAGTATGTCATCTAACAGCTCTCATACAATGGTTGCAGGTGGTCAGGGAATAAAGAGGAGTGGAGGCCAGTAAGCAGCCTAGCTTGCAAGCCCTCCCTGAACTGCATTTTCTTGGTAGAGATGCCATGCTGGACTGGTCTGCCCAGAAGGGCATTTTTTACATTTTTATGTCAGATGGAGAAAAAAAACAGTGTTTGATTTGAGAGGGACGGGTTTTCAAATATCCTAAAAACAGTTCACTGCTTTTTGTGTAATTATTTTTTTACAGTTTTGTTTCCAGCACATTTTCAAGTTAAGTAAATTACTTTTACTGTACACATGTATTCTTTTTAACTGTATGCATTTTATCCTTTTTACAGAACTTTATAGGAACTTGTGCATTTTTCCTAAGGACATCAGATAAAGTTATAACTGCATCAAACGTTTCCCAGGTCAGACCAAAATCATGCAGTGTTTGCAGTGTAGTTAATATTTTCAGATTTTCTCCTTATTCGTCACCAATAGGTTAATGTGTTCCATTTGAGCAGGCCAATGCTGTAGTAAGTTTGTTCTCCAGCTACAGTCATGGAAACTAGTACTTCACTTTCTGTCAGTCACTTGCTTTATAGAAATATTTTACAAATACCTGATCCAGGGATGTGAACATAATTTCTAGGCTTCCTGCTGCACTGCTTCAGTTGGGTACCTGTTAGAATGATTGTCCTAACTCTTCAGTTAGCTGCCTTGGTGTCTTCTCTCTGTGGTTCTCTTGTGATCACCTTCTTTTGGCAGGGGCTGTCATCAAACTTCATTATTTATTTGAGGCAATACTTTTAGACTCTATAGAAGGTAAAGTAAGCCCTAATTTTCAGTCAGCCAGTCTTCACACTGATGAGGCTTGGAGCTCAGGCACAGACTGGTTTGGCAAATTTTGGTTTATCCTGAAGAGCAGTGTAGGAACAGTTAGAAGGAGAACATGAGAACCCCCTAGAAATTCATGGATTTGTCCCCTGTTTCTCAAGGGGGAATCTTCAACATCATGTGGAAAGAAGGGGATCAGCTTCTATGTCGACCTTGTCCTAGAGATTCAGAAATCTTGAAAAACTCCATTTTCCCTGTCTCCCCTTCACTGCAACAAATGCAAACGCTATCATATGGGAGAAACAGACATTGTTAAAAGCATCTGAAGGGGAACCATAGGGGTCAGTTACCCTTCTGTCTTTTCCTTCTGCTATTTTGTTAGCACACCCTCTTGCAGAAGGAAGTAGTTTAGGAGTATTTCCTTGTTAACACTGTTGTGGGCATTGCCTCCCAGGGAACATGTTCAGACATGTAAATAAACCTGGTCTTCCTCATAAGCACTTCTTCAAGCAGAATGATGCCTTGATTGTGATCCATAATTACTCCACTTTTTGAGAAAAACCTTTCTACCCTCTTCTACTCTAGTGGGATTATAATATTGTAATATTGTTAGGTGGTAGTATTCCACCCATGCATAACAACTAAATGTCTTAAGTGCTCTTCTTTTGCATGCAAGTGGGGAACTAGCAAGAAAAACGTTAGTGAAATTAATAATCAAGATAGCAAACAATGTCAAAGCCTCTACAAAAATTCATTTGTAGTTGCCGTACCTAAACCAGTCTGGAATTGCTGTCTTTGCATTGGCAAAAGTTGGGAGTAGAAGCTTCTAGGGAAGAACTCAGTATGCTTTCCCCTGTATCAGTGAAGTATTCATTATGATGAAGGCAAAATCAGTGTATGTTTGTGCAGTTAGGTTCTGAATGAGACTCCCTCTCTGCCACCAAGAGGTATACCCAGAGCCAAAATGGCTGGTCAGTATGGGTCATAAAAAGCTCATGGCCCACGTTCGGGATGTTTGCATTTGTAAGCAAAATGCCGGTAGCAGAAAAGCCAACCAGTCCATAAGCGGATAGTGTTGGGAAAAGATGCAATCTCTCCTTCCAATTTCTGCTTTAAGTTCTGCAGTAAAATTCCACTCACCGGTACTGTCTCTCTCTGTCCTCAGCTTCAGCAATTCGCTGCTTCTTGCTTCACATTAACAATGAACTGGAGAGAACTGTGCAACTGAGAGAGGCATTTCTTGCCTGATACCTTTATTGGCCTTTTTTTAGGCATTTATGATGGAGGGAATCTAAAAGGCAAATACAGACATAATATTGTCTTAAGATTAATTAATGCATTGATGTTAAATGGTTACGTTTAATTGGTTGCTGAAGTATTGCTGCAATATGGGAATGATGTTTCTCGTGACTCAAACTTAAGGGCAAGTCTTGGAATTTCCAATTGAATTTTAGTCTATGTCCAATCTAAAGCGAGCAGCTGAGGTACAATATCCTCATGGAACCTACATAGTTACGGGCTGTATACATGTCTGCCATATATTAGAATGTTGCAGAAGTTTACATGTACTCTGCTAACTTTTGCTTCTTCCCAAAGGAGGTGAATTTTGGCACATTTGATTGTACTAATGGAAATATCCTTCAGGGCCTGGAATTTTTCTTGTCCCAAATCATGATACCAGCACTTAAATCCCAACAGGTAATCTAATAGTCTTTTTTCTCAAGAACATTTGGAATGAAGGCAAGTGGCTGCTGTAGTCCCCTTTGTGCATCAGGTGAACATAAAACAGGGAATACAAAAAGATTCAAGCCTAATGTAGGCCTTTATGAGATTCATGCAGTTTGTATATGTGTTTGAAATTCATATAGTTATTGTTTATTTTCAAGCAATAGCAGCAGCTCTAATGCTTGTGACAAAGGAGAACATAGCATAGCAGCCATACTAAGGCAAAATTGTGATGATTTAATTAAAACTAGATTAAGCCTGGGTTGAAAGAAGTGCCAAGTTCTTCTGGCAGCACAAAAGATTAGTCCATGATTTTATTCTAGTGCGTGGACAGCAAGCACCGTATCACAGCCAGGGTATCCAGCTGCTTCAAATTGTCCTTGTTCTGTGGCACTCACAAAGCATCACAGTTCATTCTGTTGCCTCTAGAAGTGCACGTTTAGAGGCAGGAAATAGAATAAAGCTCAGTGTCTGTTGAGAATGATGGTGTCATATGCTGTTAACCATATGCTACCATTTTCTCTGACCCAGGACCAGGAAGGGAGATTAGAATCTGTTTTCTCTGTTCAAAGAGCACCAAATTGGAAAGATAATAATTCAGTGTGAGGACAGTGAGAGCAGGGAGACATTTTTATTTCTTGAGAGCCTCATGCTTGTTTGTCTCTTCTTGTCTAACAGAATAATTAAATCAATGCACACTTTAAAGTAATTGCTCTATAGTACTGATGAGTATATTTTAAAAGGCATACTGATAAATCTTTATTTACTGCCATGAATAAGAAATACCTTTCTAATGAAAAATAAACATTTTGTGTTCAAAAAACAGAAGAAAGTGTGACCCTTGTTTTACTTTTTTTTTTTTTCTTTTTTGGCATAAATTGTGAAATAATCAGAACTGGGGAGCTGTGAAAGAAGGCTTGAAGAACAGCCAGATACAAGACTTTCTGTATTTGGTGGATAAATTTGTGGATACTTTGTCATCATCAAGACAGAATATAGAAGATAAAATTCAGCTCACAAAAGTTGATATTGATATTTATGTCAGCAATTTACAGAGCCCATCTGACTACATAACTGCAGGTGAGTAATTCTTACAGCAAAGCAAACACAATGATGCTGTTTATAAAATAAATGTTATGTCATTAGTAAAAATTTACATTGAAGAATGAATTCACCTTCCCTGAGCTATATACATTTTTCTGCTTACTGTTGCCAGGTTTCTGACTGACATTTTACTTCTGCAGTTAAAAATCTCTGTTTATTTCTTGGTACTTATGAGACTGTCCCATTTTATGATTCCGAAGGCAGTAACACAGAGGTCACTGAGAAACTTGAAGAAGTGGTCATGATTTGGATCAAACAGATCAGACAAGTCTTAGTGGAGAGTGAACAAATGAGAAGAGAAGCTGATGACATTGGTCCATCTGCAGAGCTGGAACACTGGAAGACAAGAATGTCATCATTTAATAGGTTAAATCCCTGCATTATTTTTCACAGAGTCTAAAAAAAACCTTTTTAAAAATAAATGTAAATTTTCATTTCAAAGACAGTATTGAATGTGTTTCTTTCTTCAAAGCCTTTTAGATGAGATCAAGAGTTCAAGAGTAAAGAAAATTATAAGTATTCTTCAGGCAGCAAGATCAAAGACATTAAAGCAGTGGAAAGAGCTGGTAATTACTTTAAAATTAGTACAGTACTGTATTTGTAATACACACAGAATGGAACACACAATGCTAAAAATACTTTTGAGTGTTTATGCTGGTTTTGTGCTGTGGATTCTTATCTATTTGTTGAAACATGTAACACCGATGATTCTCAAGTGAAATAGATAACTTGAAAAGAAGTCAATGCTTCTCTAATGTATCTTTCATTAACATAGTGGGCAGAATGGTTGTGCAAAAGTTAAGCAATGCAGCAGTACAAAATTTTTCTGTCTCTCTCCAGCTGTACCCTGTGCAGGCCAACTGTAGAGATGTCTGAAAGCTCATCATACTGCTTTTAGAATTAGTGACAGCTGGCTTTTTGTAACATAACTGCTGCTTCATATAAGTGGATATCTGTAATGTAAACTTATCAGTCAAAATTATAGGCAAGCCAGAAAATAAGCTGTAGACCATGTATAACCAATCAGACCCCTATAACCACCAGAATGAAGATTTTCTAGCACTTAAAAAGGTATTCTACTGTTTTGAAAATAGACAAGGAAAACAGTGTCACCTTACTGAGGGGTTTTTTTTGTGTGTGTGTGTGCTTAACATATTTGCAGACTTTCATGGATGAGAGTGTCTGTACAGAGCCAGTACAAGCCAAGGATCACGACCTAGATTTCGTTCTTACCGATTTTTGCATGTAAAAGCAGTTATTTCTTATGTAAAGAAGTAGTGGCTTATTTGAGAGAACTGTCAGACAATGTTTGCAAGATGGAATCGTAGTCTTGTGGTAGCATGCACTTTAAAAGAGCAAGAACCTGTTCAGCAAGTTTTAACACTCTTGATTCTCTTTCTTTTTCTCCTTTCAGGATGGTAATATAACAAATGCTGCCAATGCAGCTAAAGACAACGTGAGATATTTATATACATTGGATAAATTTTTTGGTCCGCTTGCCAAAGCTTCACCTGTAAGTAGTACTCTAAAGGCACTTAACGTGAAATTCAGAAAAGAAAGGAAAGCCTTTTGCTGCTACAACAAAGATATTTCTCCTTTCAGTATTTAACTCCTGTGCTTCATGATTAGTGGACAGTTTAACTCCTTTGGCATTAGCGAATTGAGTTTACAGATTTTGAGTAACCCAGAGATAATAATACTCTGTGTAGGAGGCAGTTGTCATTCCAGAAGATAATTGAAGAGTACGAGAAAAATAAGCCAAAGATTATGTTTTTCCAAACCTGATATCTAGCTCAGTTGTCTTTGTGAGGTTGGGCCTTACATATGGTACCTCTTCCTGTCCCCATGCTTCAGTTAGCAGTTACTCATGTTTGTTTTAATGCAAATATCATAAAATGATCTTAAGCCTTCTTTTGAGCTGAAATTGGACATCTTCCACTTATTGTACAGATTAAAGCTGTTTCTTTTGCAGGTAGCATGTGTTTACTTTTATCCTGGTTCAAATTACAATATTTATTTTCATAACCATGTGGGTTTCAGATTTCATTTTTTAAGTGAATTTTGAAGATACAGCCACCAGGTAAAACTGTCTAAGCTTACATGGTTCAGAAGATTTACCCGTAATCCAACTGCTTACAAATTTTCTAAATATTGTTTTCAAAGCTTGAACTCTGTTTAAATCTATTGTGCTATTTTATGCTGCTTTTCTTCTGCAAATATGCACCGTTCTGCCATATTGGACTTGAGTGTTAAATACCATACTTTTTTTATCCTTTTCTAGACCAGTCTCTTGTTCTGGGTTCTCAGTATATCTGTCTTGCATGAATTTCTGTGGAATCTTTCTGTGGGACAGCAAACTCTGTAGTTCAATATCCTCAGTAAGAAAGAGATTATTGTTGCCTTGCCTCTCTCCCTACAAGGTTTCTCTTCTGTACAGATCTAGGCAAAATGAGCAAAGGCCAACTTACTTCTTCTTGCCCATATACTGCAGACCACGGCCAAAAAGAGTACAGTCTCTGTTTTTCCTCTGCAAAATCCCATTCTGGAAGAAGACATATTCATTTATTAATTTCCCATTCCCCATTTTTTTTGCTTGGTCATAGTGTGTTAGGTCCCTGCAAATGAATTGGATGGTCCAATTCATAATGAGATGTCTACAAGAACAATGTGTTACAATCAAACAGATGGTTATTCACTGGCAAACGTATTCACCGAGCTGTCACGTTTTCTGCTTGAATTGCTGACTCCCATTTTTTCCTGTTGCAGGTAACAATGATGGAACACATACCCAGTTTAATGAATACTGTCTGTATGATATACACTACATCACCATACTACAACACATCAGAGTGCATGACATCTCTTCTTCTTAAAATCACTAATCAAATGATTAACACATGCAAGACGTATCTATGTGAAGGTGTTTCAAAAATATGGGATCTGGACAGGTGATAGAATTTTAATAATTTCATTTTCTTTTGTTAATGTTAGAAGTAAAATTATAGATTAATCATCAAGATTATTAAAAGGTAAATTTAATTAGCCCCTTGTCCTCCTGTCAGACACTGATTCCCATGTTAATTTTAAGCTTCTGAGTACTCATTTTGTGTAGAATTAAGTACTCTGCAAAACCAAATTTACTCCGTGTTCTGAAAAAACCTGTTATTGAAAACGGTGTTATGTATATCAGTATACAACACTCGATATTTGTCCCCATGGCTTTGTTTTAGACCAAAACACACTTGAGCAATTAGAACTAAGAGCTAAGCTTCTTCATAAAGAAGCTCTGAGGACAGACTGGCAAAATTCCATCTAAGATTTATATTTTGCTGTTAGTGGGCAGGAAAGTCAGAGTGAGAAAGGGGACAATATATGCCAGAACCAGAATCACAAAACTTAAAAATATCCAATCTAGATAACAAATTCAAAACAAAACTTTGTCATCTACCTCTCATATTTTTAATATTTTTCAGGTAATGTATGATTTTGTTCTTATTTTTTGAAGTTGCATATCTGACTGAAATGTTCTATTTTCTTTTATACTCTTTTAAAGACCTCCTTATGGTGATTTGCTGTCTTCTGTGCTTTTTTCCTCAGGCAAGAATTGCTAAAGAGGGTACAACAATGCATTTCCCTCAAAGAACAGTACCAAACATCCTTTCAGAGAATTAGGGAGGAGCTAAAGGAAAATCCAAGTGAGAGGCAATTTGATTTCAGGTAAATAAATCACTCTAATATTGAATCATATTCATTTATACAATTTATAAATGAGATGTCATTATATCTGCTGGCTAGCAGACAAGCTAAATAATTAAAATGTGTTTACTATAATCACAGCATGAACTTACAGAGGTCTTTTTTTTTTTTTTTTATTCAGGAATAAACCAGTGACAGGTTTTGGCCAGTCACTTCTTGATTTAGCTGATGTCCAATGGGACTTCAGGGGAATTTATGCATGTGTTAATTTAATACATATATTTATGTGTGGTCTGAAATCCCAACAAATTTTAGCCATAAATATAAGTGAAAAGACTCCAGGGGGATTTAAACAGCTTTGGGCTGGGTTGTCTATCACAATGCCAAGGGGGGTTTTACCTGTATTGGCACTTAAAGCACAGGACATTTCTTAGTATTGTATAGTCACATTTTGATGTCCTGCAACTGTCTTATTTAAAAGAGTAACTCCAATAAAATGTGGTAAAGGCTTTCAATTGACATATATAAGGATTAAGCATTTTCTGGTTTATATCTATTACTTTAAAATGATTTTTACTTGATTTGTAATTATTACAGCATAGATTTTTTTACATGAAACTTGGTAGCAGTTCTGGAAGAATATATGTGGGTTAAATATATGTGGTTAAATTTATTACAAATAGGTTTGCATAACCATCCCTCTGTTGCTTTTTTATTGTTAGTGAAAACTATATATTTGGAAAATTTGATACATTCTGTAAACGTTTGGAGAAGATTTCAGATATGAGCAATATTATGGAAAGCCTTTTAGAGCTTCAGCATATAAAAATAGAAGGTATTGAAGAGATCAGTACTCATTACCAAAGCATTGCTACAAACACCAAATCCAAACAGTATGATGTTCTGGATCACAGAAAAAAAGAGGTACATCCATTCAGCACTTATCTGACAATCAGTCCCTTAATTCTATGCTTTTCACTGGAGTTATGCAAAGAAGATTAAATTTTATAACAATGCATATAGTGTTTTGCTGTAATAATACTTTCATATTTTTTTAATACAATTTAAAAGTGTTTGGGTAAATTTGACTTTTATTTAAATATTTTTGTTAATTTTTGAAAAACTAGGTTTTATGTGAAAGGTAATGCTACAAACAACTTTTCCTAAACTTGTTTGTTTTGAGAAGCACATATTTTGAACTGCAGACTGAAAACTAATTCAGGCAGGTCAATGCATTAAATACAGTTTATCTAGTTGCAAGAGTTACTCAGTGTTACTGAAAACAGTGGAATAATAAAAGCAGTATTATAGTAAAGGTAGTAAAGGCACTTAGATGAACGTTTTAGAGGGATAACTGAATGGTATCACCTCCATTGTTGAGCAGGGTGGTAAAAACTAAAGTGGCTTTTCACATGCTTCAAACTCATGTTTTAATACAGTCTGTACATGCTGGAATTGCACTGCTTTTTGTGAGCCATAGCCTGCTTGCTTTGCAGGATTGATATCCTCACAACAGAAGTGCTAGAAATGTTGACTTACTCTCCTGCCTTCCTGAACTGTAGCTTGCAACTGTCAGGAACTTTTCTTTAAACATTTAAGTCTAGAGTACCTTTGGCTTTCTTCTAACTGGCTGATGGCTTACATTTCTCTAGTATTTGCTGTGTGTTTTTTTTCTGAAAGACAATATTTGCTTTTAACGGCAATTTGGAGATGTTTAAAAATTGCATAGCTTTTCTCCACCTAAATGGCTAGAGCTATGTATATTATGGACTGTGTTCCCAAGCTTGTGGAGTGCTTTCTTCAAGTTTGCATTGAACTCCTTGTAGGTCCTCAGTATTTTGGACTTTTAAGAAAAAATCTTACAGATAAATACCCAAATTACTTACAATTAGGAGCTGCCAAATTTGGTAGCCCAGTAGAGGTGAGGCTGTCACAGTTCTATGTCCCCAGGTCCACTCAGCTGTGAGGCTGAGCATGTAATTCCCAGTAGGAATGCATGCACATGTACACACAAGACATTTATACACGGATTTGGCCACATAGCTCAACACAAACTGAAAACACAGCAATCATCCAATTACAAACTATTAATTGCCTCAACCTGTACCTCTCTGGCTGAGCAGGAGAAAAGTATGTTAGTAGAAAACATATATACATGGATCCTTCCAGTAGCTGGTCTTACACAGTCTGTCTGGTAACTGGTCCCTGGATACCCAATTCTCCCCAGTTCCTGGACTTACAAAGCCTCCCAAGGCCCACAGCCCCACTCCTGTTGCTGATACTCAGGCGTGTACACACACATGCAAGACACAGGCGCTATGGGTCCCTCCAGTAACTGGTGTTAAGCAATCAGTCTAACCTCCACTTGATCCCTGGATCCTCTTGCTCTCCTGGTTGCTGACACATGGAGACACACACATGCAAACAGTTCTTTCTTGTAGTTGGCCCAGACTTATAACCTTATAACCTGGTTTGGGTTGGAAGGCACCTTTAAAGATGATCTAGTCCAACCCCCTTGCCATGGGCAGGGACATCTTTCACTAGACCACGTTGCCCAAAGCCCCATCCAACCTGGCCTTGAACACTTCCAGGGATGGGGCATCCACAACTTCTCTGGGCAACCTGTTCCAGTGCCTCACCACCCTCAGCATAAAAAATTTCTTCCTTATGTCCAATCTAAACCAATCCTCTTTTGGGTAGATATAAAACTGTTAACTCCTTGTCCTGTCACTACAGGCCTTGGTAAAAGTTTCTCTTCATCTTTCTTATAAGCTGCCTTTAAGCCTTCCACTCCTGTTGCTGGTTCCACTCCATACACACTCATGAACACAGAAGAACCCTTTCACCCAGGAAAATGGTTAGAAATGGTGATCAGTAAGAAGACAAGACAGATTGTGCTGATTGGGTGCAGGGCACAGCCAGACAAGTGTACTGGCCAGCAGCCTGCTCACATGTGACCAATTCTTTTTGTCCCATCATGCCTCCATTTTTCCACACTTGTTCCTTCCACAAACCACATTGATCCCTGCCTTTGCTGCTTCCCTAACTCCCATAATACGTTTTGTGTAGTCCCAAAATGCTCTTCCCTGGTAAACTGTAATGAGTCCCTTATCTGCAAGGCAATAACCTCCCTTAGTCTGTAAGGTGCTCTAGAGAGCCTGCCGGTTTGCTTATCTTGATGGGTTTCATACCTGGACAGTGAGCTGAACGCTCTCCCATGGCAGTGCGGGGAGTAACTGGTGAGTGTGTTCTGTTCCCTCTGATTAGGTTATTAGATTTCCTCTGCCTGTCCTTGTTCCTCTGCGCTTCTTTGTGTTCATGAAGATGAGGCTTTAATCATATAACCTAACGCTATCATTTTTTGTTTACTTTGCTTAGAATGTGAATGCCTTTGTTACTAGTGTTGTCCCTGTTCTCTTTAATTCAGTGCTGAACGCATGTACTGCACAGATAAAGCAAATTCCCGAAAAACTTCAGGGAAATAATTTTGTATGAAATGAAAACAACACTATAGATGATTTTTTTTTTCTTTTACCCTTTTTTAGTTTGAAAGAGATTACCTTGAATTTAAGAACCAAATTGCAGCATTGTATGAGTCCATACAAGAATTTGTGGATTCCTGGTTTGAGAGGACCATAACTGTAAGTAATTTTACAACTGCAACCCCCTTGTTCTGGTGCTCAGAAAGGCTGAGCACCCACAGCTCCTACTGAACTCCTTCATTGCTGCTAGTCTTCTGTACTGTGCTGGTGGCTGCCTGAGATAATGTAGGAAGACATCAAACCTATTACAAGTTTTCTAAAAGTCACTTGCAGAAGTGCTGGAAGATAATGTTCATTGTTACTTGGTGCCAGTTTTATGTTCCATCTTTCCTTACCAATTTTATAGCCCTGGGTTTTTTGAAGTTTTTAAATTTTTTTTCTTCATCCTGTTGTTCTCCATGCTTCCTGTGTATTTCAAAGTTATTCCTGTTGGACTGGCAGGAGTAATGAAATAATTTCTGCATTCTGTTACCTTACTGTCAGTACTGTTCATTGGTTCAGGCCCTGATCCTGATAGGAGATGTTAATGAAGCATTAGTAAAGGTCTAGCTGTTCTACCACAACTGTTTGCAGAAAAAAAGAGGGATGATTTAAGAGTCAGAAAAAATTTAAATATTTCATTATACCGTAGTGGTAGCAGTTTCTTGGTTCATACTATGGTAAATATATTCTATATGGGACAAAATACAGAAGTAAAATTCACTAACTTGTCGGGATGGACTTTTCTGTGTTTCTTAGAAAACAATTTAGAAACCTACATAATTTATAAATAATAAAACCAGTTTATGAACAATGACTTTCTGAACTATATAACATCTTCTGCAGTAAATGCTTCATCCTCCTTTTTAGACTGAACAGATGCTGGGACTTCTGATGAAGCTTGAACAAATAGGAGAAAATCATATTGATCTTAATGAGAAGTATACCATTGTTCTTCAGCAGTACAGCCAAGACTTAGAGTTTGTTCGGAAACTCTACCAGAAGCAAAAAGAAAATCCGCCTATACCACGTAATATACCACCAGTAAGAATGAAATAAATGAGAAAGAAAAAAGACTTTGCTTCTTGACTGTCTTTAAGCTAATGGAAATATAACCTCATATCTTCTGTGTTTCAGGTAACAGGGAAGATTATGTGGGCTCAGCAGTTATACAGAAAAATTGAGCATCCAATGACATTCCTTAAAAAGAAAACCACACTTTTGAAGGTTGGAAATTAGCAGAGGAGGATTTCTGCTAAGCTCTCAAGCATGTTATTAACAGACACATGATTTATTTTTATACTCCTAAGCTCACTTTTCTAGCCACTTGTATTCAAGCTCATCCAAGAGGATAGGTGTTAGTGTTTGCTCCAGGATTTGAATTTCTTTTTGCAGCAGTATTATTCTGTGGCTGAGGACAGTTGCTTCCCTTGAAACATTAAGATGATGACTTAGGCCAGTGGTTTTGTCCCATCTGGGGCTTGACTCATGTTAATCCTGATAGCAGCACTGTTGGCTGTGTACCTAAGCTTAGAGCCTTCTGTCTGCTATGCTCTGTAATGAAGAGGACTGAGATATTTAACCTTAAACACTAGCCACACTTCATGAAGAATATAATTTTTATAGCTTTCTCAATGGGACATCAGTGACTTGTATAGGTCATAGTATAGACTTTTTTATGGGCAAGACTGCGAGGAAGAATCAAGAAAAGAGTTACGTTGTATACAGCAGTTAAATACTTCTTAATAATTTAATTCCTAAATGTATTTCTATGTTTCTGTGTCTTACCTCATCTCTAAAATAGCATAACTTAAAGCTTTCTATTTGTTTTGTTTTCCTAACGGTGGTGAGGAAAAGCCTAGTGGAGGACATTTCTACTATTGACTCATTGAATTGATTAAATAGTGTTTGCTTTTTTTTTTTTTGCCCTCCCTTCCATTGCAGACACTGGAAATGAAAAAGGTCATTAAAAGCTACAATAAAATGGCTGCAGTTCTTTTGGAATTTGAACTTATTTATCATAGAGCCTGGTGCAGGTTTGCTGACCAGGCTAGAAGTGCTCTGTGTGCTTCCTTACTTGTAAGGCACCCAGAAACCAAGGTAAATATGATCTATTTGTATTACTGTTGCAATGTTTGGTATTGCATATGCTACTTTAATCACATCATGGATAGACAAGCACAGTATTAAAATAATCTTAATTGTCTTAAAAAATGAACTACTCAAATTGGTATATTTTTTTTTTCCTTTTGGTATATATTTATGGTACAGACTTCATCATGTCACTTAAGGCTTCTGCCTCATTCAGGGCATAAAAGAGGCAGTACCCAGCAAATATCTATCTATTAGTGACTTATCTGCATCTTTTTAGATATTGCTTCATGTTTTATTTTCTGCGTTAAACAAAATTTTAGTCAAGGAAGGAATTTTTAATTAGATCCTGGTCTTTTCTGTAATGGTCAACATCACTGTGTTGAGTATATTGCATTCATTCATTAATTTGCTTTCAAAACTTCTTGTTGAGACAAAAAATCTTACCATTTTTACTTCACAGATTATTTTTTTCTGCTGTAGTGCAGAGAAATTATGTTCAAAATGTGGCATTTTTTGAACTAATGATTCCATAATGGACAACTAGAACCTAGTTTTCAAATTTATTTAGCATCTTAATAGTATTTAGTGCCCCCAAAAGTGTACAGAGATTAACCATCACAACATTTCTGCCTAATCTATTGGTGGAGAAACTGAGATGAAAAGGCAAGTTAGCTTCCACAGATTGTAGCTGCAGAACTGGAATTAAACGTAGGAAGTCATAGGAGCCAAGTGGTTAGGGGACAGTGAAGGAGTCACAGGAAATTGAAATCAATGTAAGATACTGGCTAATTAATACTTTGGAAAATCCAGACATTTGTGGAAGAGGATGAAGAGCTGTGTGGAAAAATGGGTATCCGTTTTAAAAATCTTCTCTAGTCATCTACATCTTGTTATAAGTTCCAGTTATATCACACTACATGTAACCATCAAACTATTGCTTTATTTTCTATTTCTCTTTTTTCCCCCCTGTACTGCTATATGAAGGAATTACTTGTAAACTTGGATCCTGTGGTCCTGGAAGTACTTTACGAAACAAAATACCTGAAAAAAATGGATTTTGAAGTTCCAGATGTTGTCCTTGACTTGTGTGCAGATGAAGAACAGATTAAAAGACATCAAATGGAGTAAGTGAACATTTTTTGGATTTGATTCTCATCTGCAAATGGGAATCCCTAGCTTTGAGTCAGTTGCATATGCTTTTGATTTATTATAATTTTTCTCTTTGTTGGAGTTTAATTGAAATTTAATTGCTTTCCCCTGCATTTCCATAGTAATATTGGTAGCATGCAGTCTATCTCAACAAATATCTCATTACTGGAAAATGCCTACATGCTGTTTTAGGCAACAGCTGCTCTTTAAGTGTGGCTCCTGGGTACTGCTAAGGCATCTATGCACTATAACATAGGGATAACACTCCAAAATAGTACAGTTAACTTCAAAAGGGCTTTTTTCGTTAGAAAAACAAGCTGGAATTTACCACTTGATTAAGGCACAACCAAGACATTTGTATAGGTAATACATCATCTAAGTTATAATTTGCTCTCTTGTGTTGAAAATAACTTTTGTTGATTTTAAGTAATTTCTTTCTGCTTCTTGTAACAATCCAATTCTGTGCTGGAGGAGTTCTTTTCATTCTCAGGGATGCTGATTATTAACTCACTAAGCAAGAATGATAGGTTTTAAAAAATCATTCTTTGTGAGGAGTGTTCTTTAGGTAGTTTTTGAGTAGAAGTGGACAAAAAGGAACAAAGTTCAAAGAGTTTCATAAACAACTGAATTCAACATCCTCCCTTTTTCTATTGTTAAAGCTTTCAGTCTTTCACTCTTATAATACCACATTTTTCATTAATTATCTGTGGAGTGTTTTAGGACAAACTAACCTAAAATTTCTAATGTGCAAGGTAAACTCTATGTGCTACAGTCCTCTAAAAAGCAACAGCCCCAACTTTTGCCTTCCAAGGGAAACAAAAAACTACAGAAAATGTTTGCAATAATAAAGAATAATCCAAACTTCCTTTCTACTCTAAAAAAAGACTTCAGACTGACTCCCCAAGCAAAGAATGAATGTTCAGAGACTGTAGATTTTTGCTTAAGCAGCACTGGAAAAACATTTGGTGTATTGCGAATGGGTTATCTCAGTATATGGTTTCTTACAATGATGTTTAAAGTCATGGTTTTCGTCTGGCACAGAACACAGCTATTACTTTTTTTGCAGCAGTTCTTGTAAAGATCTAATTATGTATCTCACTTCTGAGTTGCATTTGCTTCTAATTCTTGTTTATGTAGCTTCATTACGTAGCTCCATTTTCATGGAACTATATTGCTAAGTCTTAATTCAGAATTTGGCCTCTTTGGGATTTGGTGTCGTAAGTGGTTTGGATGTATTTTTTCTTATAAGCACTGTGAGATAGGATAAAGGGAACAAAAATTCAATTTCCTGTGTTTTTTTACTGTAATTAATTTTCCTTCGAAGAAAGTTTCTCTAAATCAATCACAGTCACTTTACTGGATGTACTTATTTCCCTAGTCTCATTCTGCTGTTAGTGGGGAAAAAGAGACTTCGTTTGAGCTAGGAATAGCTGGGAAGAGTTCTTATTTTTAACATGGGGTCAGAACTTGCAAATCTTATTAACAGAAAATGTGTCCAAACTTCTCTTTGTTTCAAATATCTGAATTAAGCACATCCTTAGCATGATCATGTCTTGCAGACTCCAGAATCTGTTGATCAATTACAAAGAGCATCTGAATGGGATTCCTGTTATGCTGAAACCACTGATGAAACCATTCATAGGACAAGTTGAGGATGCCTTTACTCCAGGCCTGATGCAGCTGTCATGGACTTCTTTGAACATCAATAAATGTATGTAGCAGAATGGGTCAATTGTTGATGCTGTTGGGTGGCACCGGTCCAGTATTTCCTTGTCAGTTTTAGGAAAAGCACTCCATCTATACGAGGGAAAAATACGTCAGGTCCCTCCCCCCTGATTATGGAAGTAAGTCAGACATGCGTAAGGTGAAAATGATGTCCTGCTCTAAATGGTGGTGATCAGACCAGGTCTGTTTGACAGCTATCTTTGAACAGCCCTTGTTTAGTCTGGGGACTGGACCATCTCTCTTATGAGGAAAGGCTGAGAGGGCTGGTTCTATTTAGCCTGGAGAAGAGAAAACTGAGAGGGGATCTGATCAATACTTATAAATATCTAAAGGGTGGATATCAAGAGGATGGGGCCAGACTCTTTTCAGTGGTGCCCAGCAACAGGACAAGTGGCAATGGGCACAAGCTGGAACACAGGAAGTTCCATCTGAATATGAGGAAAAACTTCACTGTGAGGGTGACTGACCACTGGAACAGGCTACCCAGAGAGGCTATGGAGTCTCCTTCTTTGGAGATATTCCAAACCCACCTGGATGTGATCCTGTGCAACCTGCTCTAGGTGATCCTACTTTAGCAGGAGGTTTGTACTAGATGATCTCTAGAGGTCCCTTCCAACACCTACTGTTCTGTGATTCTGTGAAGGCATTTGCTTTACCAGGCATATCCTTTTTTCCTCTCCCTGGTGATGCCCCTTTACCACTCTTATGTCCTCCCACATAAACAACCTACCGTTTTTTACTCTTGTGATAGAGTGTAGAATCACTGTTGAGTCACAGTTTCTTGAAATTTGTCAGAATTTCTTAATCCTACTAAACATTACTGGTTAATGTATTGAAGTGGCTCGGAGAGGAGTGCAGTGAGAGAATAAGTGCTCTGGTGCTAAAAAACTGTAAACCCAATACATTAGTTATCACTTTTTTCTTCTTTTTTTTTTTTCCTCCTGACTTTTGGAAAATAATTAGTGTTGTAAAACGATTGGTTTTGCTCATCCCCACCTCTCTCAATTGAGGCATTACAAATTCAATTGCTGATGTACACTGAAGTCACTAAATTAGTTAATTTACAGCTGTGTAACTGAGTAAATGGTTTGTCATGTTAGACTGCTATCCATACTGCTGTATAGATGGGAGAGCCTGTAGAGCCTTGACTTGTGAGATTTCTTGCAAACTTCATTGAGTAACATTGCATCATATAGTTACGTCTTGTGTTGCAGTTCCATTTTTGAATTGCATGCATTTTCATTTACTGAGCTTAAGCTGTTGTATCACACTTTTAAAATTATTATGCATTTTTACTTCTTTTTCCCCTATCAATGTTTCTATGATCTTCTTCCAAGTAAGTGACCATATAATGAAAAAGTTAAGAGCTCTTCTCATGCCTGCATTCTTTTTTTTATTTCGCTGAAAAAATGTTTGTGCACTGACCTCTTCACTTCAGATAGATAATGATAGCTTGACTGCTACAAGAATGTGAGACGAGAACGGACGTGGGATGCTTTAATAATGTCTCTTATGTTTTCTATAGAAAAGTCTTCATAACTTATGCTGAACGTCCTAAAAGTGTCTGTATTCAGGGTTGAAATTAGTAAGAGATATATAGTATTTGGAGATTTCTGCCCAAATCCTAATTTTTTCTAAGAAAACTTGGTTTTAATCCCCAATTACGCATTGAGGTTTTTGCACACAACCAGTAAGATAGAATCTTATCCACATAAAATACAGCATAAAATTGATTAACTGTTATAAAAGTGTCATTTAAATGGACATAGATAAAACCATCAGCAAGACTTTTATGTTGCAGTTCCATGAGAATACAATAGCTCATGCTTGGAAATCAGTTTTCAGTTGAAGTAGTCTGATGTTAGGCTTTCACTTCTTCACAATGACAAGCAGCAAGATAAGCAGGAACAGATGCAGCCTAAATCTGAATGTGAAATGGGGCATGGGTTTGTGCAGCTGTTCATTTGTGCTCTGACCAGTGCTTAAGGCAGGGCTGGCCACCTTTTAGCTTTACTTGACCTTTGCCTGACCAGAGTGCAAAAAACAATGGCAAGGGGTTTTTCATGTTTGTTTTATAGCTCACATTAATTTTTGTGTTTGGTTTGCATAATTTAGTAATGCATCATAAGGAAGTTCTTTACAATATTATTCATTTATTTATTCATTTAGGTACTGTGTGCAATGTTAAGTGTCTGAATAACTATAATTCAGATTTTAATGGTTCTTTGGATCAGCATTTGCTCTGGCGGAAATTGGCCTTCTTTACAAGGTAGAGGTTATGCGCCAAGAGTATCTGGGCTACCTCCTGTTTCCTGCTGCTGCAGCTGGAATGGAATCACCCCTAGAAAGGAATGCTCTTCATGAGCGTATACATCATACCTTTTCGAGGATGTGCAATGTCTAGTGTGCCCAGAATGTTATGTTGGACACTTACAAATGAGTCATTGGTTCAGTGTACATAAAATCATAAAATCATAGAAGGTTTGGTTTGGAAGGGACTTCAATCTAGGCTGAGAGAGTTAGGATTGTTCAGCCTGAAGAAGGCTCCAGGGAGATCTAATTGCGGTTACCAGTACCTGAAGGGGGGTTGCAACTAGATGATCTTTAAGGTCCCTTCCAACCCAAACCATTCTATGATTCTATTCCAACCCCCCTGCCTGGGCAGGGACACCCTCCACTATACCAGGTCGCCCAAAGCCCCATCCAGCCTGGCCTTGAACACTTCCAGGGGTGGGACCTCCACAACCTCTCTGGGTGACCTGTTCCAGTGCCTCACCACTCTAACAGCGAAGAATTTCTTTCTAACATCTAATCTAAATCGACCGTCTTTTAATTTAAGGCCACTTAACACTGTCCTGCCAGCAATGTGCTGAACTTACTATGCATGAGCTTAATGTCTTAAGTGCTTTATTTCCATCTAATATGTAGAAGTATGGGGGCCAAATTCAAAGACAAAATGTGTCAGGTGACATATTTCTTTCTTTTTTGCAATAAAAGTATGAAGGACAGGGAAAGAATGTACCCACTCTACTCAGAAACAGTATTTTTAACATAGTTTAGTAAACACATCTCTTAAAGCAATCAGTTCATCTCGTTCCAAAACAAAGGTCAAATGCATGAAAGAAGAAATCTAGTGGTTTAACCAGTGTGTTATCATGGCTGGAGGAATTTTAGCCATTAAGTTTCTAAGTTAATTACAATGATGAAAGTACTGGATTTCCCTGTGGATTTATGTAGAAGGACCAAAGTAATTTTTGGACAGTTGTATCTTTTCTGTTTTCCACTATATTTTGTTGATCCTTTTCATTACAATGTTCTTTACTTCAAAAAAGAAGAGCTATTTTGAAGGCTATTGTACTCATCATGTTTTGGTTCCAGGCCTTTGTTGCGTATTTCATTGCCATTAAATCGTCATTTTATTGTAATACTGGGGAGGAAGGGGGAGATGACATTTAAGGGGTCTGTATTTTGCATATTTGTTTTCATTTTCTTTTCTTTGCTTAGTTATTGAGAATGTTTATTGTACCCTGAGGGAGTTGGACTATGTTGTCAAAGAAGCAGCTGATACTCTGGAGTGCAGAATTGAAAGAATTCTGGAGGATATGTCGAACACTGCTCTGATAATTTTGCCAGAAGATGAACCTATGGATATGCTTTCTTTCCTGGAACAGACAGAAAAGCTTGCTATCTCTACTGCTCACAAACTGTCTCAGTAGGTTTACTCATTGCATAGATTTGAAGGCCATATTTGGGTGGGATTATTTACATATTACTTTTTTATGTGTAGAGAGTTTACTTGTAAAAATTTATTTTAACAGAATACTAGTCTAAAGTAAAATGATAGTCTCAAGATGCAGGGAAAAATTCCCAAGTATTTTGAATACAGCAGATGTAAGATTGCACCTGTAGTGTTTAGCATTTAATATTTTTCTTCTTTTGCCATTCTAATCAGTAGCAAGAAGAATGAAGATGGATAAGACTTGAAATCTAATCCCCACATTAATTGCCTGATTCTTAATGCTAGCTAGCTAATGTAAGACTTCCCATTTTCCCGGTGCCACAATTTTTTTGGCCTGTGCTTATTTTCCAGGTTACAGCAGAATAGTCGTTCAGTTCTTCTCCAAAAAGATGTCTATGGTGACTGTGCAAAATAAGATACCTTCTACTTATTTTTTTGTTTTTATTTTACTAATTCTGATTTCACAGATTATGTCACCGTATCATCATGATAAGCCTGTTTTATTAACTGTGGCTGGAGAATAACTTACTTTAATTATTATAAAGTCCAGTTGAATCAGATATAACAGAGTCTGACAAAGGGGTTTCCTTGTAGTCTGCTTATCTTAATGTCTTACATTCTCTGTATGCCTAAGCAATAGGAACAAACTGAAAACTATAAGGGTATTTCCCTGCACATACAATTCTTCACAGTGCAGTGGGACTGGGGGTGTGTGCCTGGAAAACAGCAAAGAGAATTCCTTATGTTTGATTCCCTGTGGGTGACTGTAAGGTTGTTTTTGTAGACAGAGTCAGCAAGTGGAATGCTCTGTGTACGAACTGGTAGATATACTTAAGCACCGGCTGAAAGCACATGCCGGGAGAAGTCCAGAGGTAAGAAGACTTCTACAGTGTTAAAAGTAACCTTTTATGACCTAGTCAGATACATGATATTTCACTTTCACTTGATGGATAATATGGTTATTTTCCTAAGAATTTCCCTTTAACTCTTCAGGATTCATATGCCTGTACAAATCTCGACATGAAACAGAAAACACGCTGCCAAGAATGTCTGTCCTGTACTTATTATAATCTGATGGGACAACTTTGTCAGAAGAATACTGACTCTTTGGTCAGATGTGAGTCTTTTTCAGATGTGTTTAATTTTTTAATATAATTTGAGATTTTTTTCCCCAAGCTTATTGTAGTTAAAAAAAATATAACCTCACTTAAATATTATGTTTATTTAGGTACAAAGATTTCTCTGGAGTCCTTAAGACATCGATTGTGTGTTATTGACTCGAGGTATCAGATGACCAAGTTTGTAGAGACACAGAGGGTTCCTTTGTTCAAAGCTGAAATTCAACTGGCTATTCCAAATATTGTCTTGAAACCAAGTCTTGAAGATATTCAGGTAACAAAATAATTGAACATCTCAGTCATTTATGGTAGAACATTTACAAATGTATTTCTTTAAAACAACATGTGCAAACTTAATCTGGTATAAGAACAAAAGAAAGGCAAAAAAAGATTAAAAGTCACTTGAGTTCGTGACATCAATGGGCACTAAGACACGAAGCCACTGATCACGTTTGTTATGCAGACCAGTAGAAGGAACTGTTTTCCTAAAAGTTCAATAATTCACATTTACAAACCTCTACTTAGAGGGAAACACTTCAAAGTGAATGCAAGAATAAAAATGAATGTCATTGATACAGCCTGATTCAACTTCCTGGTCTCTTTAAACTCTTTCAGAATATAAAACGATGTTATCAGTTTAAAGTATCATTCATAAATCAGCATTCTGCAGGAGTGAAATGTAAAGAGAAATATTACCAGCCTGAGGCCCTAAACTGTGAAAAAATTTGAACACTCATTTAAACTTATACTAATTCAGCAAAATTCTTACACACATACATACAATCTCATGTGACGTCTGAAATTATTCACAAAGTATTAGTTGTTTATGGTGTTGATTTGTGGTCTTTCATTTAGCATTGTCACTGTCAAAATCAGTAGCTGAATTCTTTCTCAGATTTCATTTGCAGCCTTTGTAGTGGTGTAAGAAATCAGACCTCAAAGTGTAATTTTAAAATACCATAGATAGAAGTTATATAATAATTTATATAGCTGCCCGTGTAGATTATAGATTATACCATCACAAATTCAGACAAGTGTGTTCAGGCATTCTGATGTGAATGCGAAAACTATTATTATTAATAATAAATAACTATGTTTATAACCAGTATAAGGGGAAATAGTACTATAATTAAGTTATGATCCCCAGTGATTCACGATTACTACTTGTAAAGGTCTCTTGTGTTCATGTTTGAAAGCCACATAAACGTAGGACTGGGATAAAGCTTTATGGGCTACTCTTTCTCATTACAAAATGTATTTTGGGTGATCCTACTTCATGCTTATTAGAATACTTCCTGTAAAGATATTTTTTTCCATTTTGGGTTTTTCCCTTTCCCCCCCCCCCCCCCCCCATTTGTTATAATCTCTCTATGTGCTTAAGGTGAATGTTTTGCTGTTTTCAGAGTGCTGTAAACAAAGCAGTAAATATCATATTATCAATAGCCAAAGATATCCCTCTATGGAAATTTGCTCACTTACATCATAAACAGCAGCAGGCGAGTATTTTTTTATGATTATTTTCAAATGTTAGTATTTTGGTTAATATTTCTTAATCTCATAAGAACATGTTCTGTACCAATACTTGTAATCTGGTGGATCTTCATGTTAAGTGAAAGCTTTGTTTTTAATCTCTATACCAAGTAATTGAACATTAGAGTAATAATTCATAAATCTTATGTTTGGTGGTTTCCAATAATAAAATCAAAATTTACTTTAAAAAAATGTTTTAAATATACTGATCAAGTATGATGATAATAATGTAGATAATGTGTGAAAACTAACATTATCCATGGGTACTAGATCAGCTCATTTCAATGAAAAAACCACATTCAAGTCCTGGAAATAAATAACAAAAAAATTAAACTAGGAGAGAGTGGGTTAAATTCAGTTTCCTCAAGCAGAATTGTTTGCTTATTTCCAAGCAGTCAATCCCCTACCACCTATAGGACCTTTTTTTGGCCAAGAATGGCTACAGATGATTGCAATACTATGCCAAAGAAAGCAGGAAGACCTGAGCAGTTGTACAGGAACAGGAAACAGCACAGTTGTACCTTATATGATGCATATTTAACAGATTTCATTCGCAGACAATTAGTATAGAGGTCCACATGGCAATTTTTGGTAAAATCAGCTTTAAAACTAGAACTATAGTTCTGTAAAAATCCAGGCTAAGAACAGGGAGTCTCCTTGTGGATGCTTTCTCTGCACTTTCTATCTGTTCGTAGAAGCGCTTACTGTGTATGCATTATTGGGCATTCTATAATGTAAAAATATATATATAAAACTACTGGACATATGTTTTTTCTTGTTTAATTTATGCCAGATTGAACAAGCTGTTGCTGTAGAGCTAGGTGATGAGAGCAAACTCACCAGGATGGTGGCACTGAAACCTTTAAACAAACAGATCATCGAGCATAAGGATGTAAATAAAGTGGTAATCCAACTAAATACAATTATTTTGTCTCTCAAAACTGAAGCATCGGATCTTCTGAACAGCTTTTCTGAATTTTCAGGCATCTGGAACAAGGTTAAATACATATTTAATAAAATACGTTGCTGTATTGTAAAATCTTCTAAATAAACTGTTATGGGTTGCGTATGGAGACTGTGTGCTCATTAGGAAGCATTACTAGATGCTTAGTTTCATAGTAGAATCTATATACCTGTAGTAGCTCCTCTGTACTCTTGTGTTGACCAGAACTTGTCATTCTTTACCAATTAAACCATCTAAGGAAGAAAGTAGAAGAGCAAAAAATAATGTTGGAGCATAAAGAAGCTTAAGCTCTCATATGCTTATGCATCTTTCCCGCAGCATCTTGTCTGCATAGGTTTTAAAAGAGAATAATTTAACAGAATCTCAGAGAAATTGTGGACTACAAAAGCACTCCTGAATATTAAACTGACTAGTTCTTCTTCAGCAACCACTGCTGAAAGCAGCTTTTCTATTTCTCATAAAATTATCAACTATATCTAGTAAATATTTCCAGTAATAAGAATTCCACAGCAGAAGAGAATCTGGGCTGATGGAGTTGTCTTCATTAGGAAGTGGGTCCAGTCACATAAATGGTAAAGCTCCGAGGAGTGTTTTGACAGGAGATATTTCATGAAATAAAACCTTGTGTACATTCTGATTAGTGAAATTCAACCTGTGTGCATGTAAAACTACTGGTCTTACCTATCAAATGTGCTTTAGTCAGGCTGAGAAACAAGCGATCAAAACAGGAGTAATCTTATCTTTGAAACTGCTCACTCTTTTTATTTTCCCCTTCCTAAACCAACTGATAGATGACCACATTCCCACAGCTGACTCTTTTGCAGTTAGAGTTCAAGCTAGGATGGGGAATTTTTATATCTTCATGGCTTCTGGGGTTCCAATTCTTAGTGCTTAGTTACCTCAGGTTTTGGTGGTATTGTTTGAGCTAACCACATATTGATCGTATATAATTTACCCAGACAAGGCACAGATTGGATGATGCAGTAGCATGATAATGTTTCCTTTTGACTAAAATCTTCTAAAATAGTTAATTAATCTACTCTTTAACCTTAAAATTCCTAAGGAGTTGGCACTGTTTCCCCCCGTCTTTATAATTTCTGTGGGACCACTGGGAACTGTCACTGGTAATTCATTATTGGGCAGAGAAGCTGAAACAACTTCTCAGGGACTTCACGGTGCAGACTGTAGATGAACATCACTGAGCTGGGTGAAGATCATTGATGTGTCTGTAATTGAACTGAGAATCTAGCACATTTATTGAGCTGGTGACGCTGAAGTTCTCACCTCTGCAGAGACTGGCCTACCTTATGAAGAGTAAGGATGCTCAGTGCTCTGTTCCCTTTAAACAAGCTTCAACAAGCTAAATGCTCCCTCTTCCCTTAGATCAATCTAAGATTAGATCAATCTAATTGTTCCCTTAGATCAATCCTTCCTTGCCAAACTGTGCTTGCTCCAAATGGCCAGGCTGTTCGTAGCTAGAAAGTGCAGTTAAATACACTGAGGAAAAGTGAAGGTGGCTGAGCACAATCGCTACCATTTGAATATCTGACCTGCTTTTGGGGGTTTGCAGACAGAAGGGAGACTGGGAAGGAAATATTTCCAGCAAAGTTTTAGCAGCTACATTTTTTTAGCAGCTAAATTTTGTAGTAATATTTGGATTGATAAGAGAGATCCTGATCTGTGTCAGTTTTTGAGTTACAGATAGATTTCAAGTGCTTTAAAGAATACTGTAAACGAATAAGAGTCAGGAAAAGCAGTTCAAGTGAAATAATTTGAACTTAATGCATGTATCTTAAGCTCTTTTAGAGGGGGATCATTTGTGTTTGCACAGTACATCAGGAAGCTGGGTCCCCCATAGGTTATTGTAATATCAATGCTAAATAATAATTAAAATGAACTTCTTTTATATAGGATCCAGAGGAAAATGTGAATGAATTTATAGATACTAAACCAACAATGGCTGAATTCCAAACTCAAATCAGATACTTTTCTGTAAGTATTAGGTCTTTAATAAAAACAAATTGTTCAGAGAAGTTGTAGTGAAATTAAGCTTATTGCTTGTGTTTGCCTTAGCAATTAGAAATGCAAATCAGAGAGCTGCCAAATCACTGTGTACTGGAATCAGTGGATATTGCAACAGAGCCGTTGAAAATAGCCTTAATTCAGGAATTCCGCTCAAGACAAAGAACGTTTGGATTAGCTTTGAATAAAAAGTCTGCAACAGACATGGATGAGATTTATTCATTCATTGAAAATATTAGCAAGAGATTAAGCAGACCTATCCGTGACCTTGACAATGTACGGGGAGCAATGGAAACACTAAAGGAAATTCGAGAGAATGAGATTAAAATTGACATGATAGTTGGACCTATAGAAGAATCTTATTCTGTGCTTCATAAATACAATCTGCTCTTTCAAGATGGAAATACAGAAAGAGTTGATGGATTGGCTTATGCCTGGAAGAACCTAAACACACAGGTATCATAGCTGTATTATTTCTCAAATCATATACATACCAAAGTTATTGTCAGACTTTTTAATGTTGAAATGCTAGAACAAAAGTATTTTCTTACTTAAAACTCTGTGCTTTTTTTCCTGTCTCTTTTATGCCTGTTTTTCTCTTTGTTTGCATGTAGGCACTTCGGGTTGAGGACTTGCTGCTGAAGGTACAGCCAGACATGAAAACAGATTTACTGAGTGGTGTTCAAAAATTCCAGATCGATACAGCAGAATTTTGCAAAGATTATGATGAAAAGTAGGTGACTTGGTGCAATACAACTATGCTTCATTAGTGATTGTTCAAAAATGGTGTATCTAAAGGGCTTCAGAAAGTAAACATAGCACAGCGTCTAAGTATATATGACAGCTGATAAAAAAGCATAATTTCAGAATAATGTAAGATGGGCAGATACTCTTACTGTCATAGATTCATTCCCATCATTTCAATGCTGGAGGCATGAAATTCCAGAAGAGTTAATAGATTGGGGAAAAAAAAATCAAGTCTTAATCCAGATCCAATGGCAATGAAGTTCATGCCAGCAGCTGAGCCAAGGTGTGCACTGCACACCTGCAGCCCGTGGGCAGTGTGTGGCACTGCCTCTGTTGTCTACCTCGCTGTTATGAACAGAATTCAGTGCACACATAGAGCACACAGTCCTGGAGGGCCTTGGAGAATATATGCTCTTCTCCTAGGGCAGGTGCTTTTGCATTGGTGTTAAAAACAAGGTGGTCCAAACGATAACCTGGTGTTTGGCTTCATCCTTGGCTTCACCAGGAGTGAAACTTCTTGAATGTACACCAGCAGTGCATTTGAGTGCATGCTTCAAGGCTCCAGCTATAGACGAGGTGAATTTTCACCTAAAAGGAACCTGCTAGAGCACCAAGTTGCCAGTGTGGATGCATGCATGGTGCTGCTTGCAGTTCTGCTCTCAGAGTTGTCCAGAAGAATTCCTGGAAACACCCTGTGGCTGCCACCAGCCTTGAGGTGACCCTGAGTTTTAGGGTCACCTGAGAGCATCCTCCCTCCTGGAGGTTCAGCTGCCTGGGCTTAGGGCCAACTTGGAGCTAGTGTATCAAGGTTTCACCCTTCCTTTGGTGACAGAGCACTCCCACGCAGCTCTGCTGGGAGGCCTCAGGAAGGCTGACGCTCCTTCATGTGGGATTTACTTTTAAGCTGAGACTTCACTGCTTGGCCCCCTGACCTTCCAGTTCTCTTGCAGCCATGCCTGTGCCTGGCCATGGACCCTACTGAGCTGAGCCTCATCCTGACGCACAGACACTTCTCAGCCTGGTCTTAGAACAGCCTGATAACCACTGCACTGTGTCTCACCCCGGTTACCTTCACTTGACCTGCTCCTGACCCTGACTTGCTGACTCATCTTCCCTGCTTGACCTTGGTCCTGTTTAATTATTGTGGACTTGTCTAAAGATCTGGACTTTCATTTGAACCAGGCCTGCCCTGCTCTCCTTGCTGAGGTACTGTGGGACCAGGCCCTGGCTACCTCTGCTGACCACATTATTTTCTTTCTAGAAATAACCATGACACAACAGAAGATGACATACTTGCAGTTCTCATCCCAAAATATTATGATGCAGCCAAGAAGTGATCTGAGGCATGAGAGCTGGGGATTACACCCAGTCCTCCAGCTGAGATGCACTCATTAGGGCAAAATTGTATTTTTTCTGTTATTTTTCTGCGTGCTTAATTATGGTTCTAGTATCAGCTATCACAGTTTTCACCCCTGAATTATATACCTGCTCTCTTACCCTTTTTAAGACTATAAATGAAAATAACCATTAAAATGTATTTTACAGAAGAAAAGAAATGGAAAATAACAAAGACAAAACATCTGTAGATCTTTTTAGCTGTTTATAATATGTATGGTAACCCAGATGAATTTTTATTATGCTTTCTTTATTATTGGGCTTTCTTTCAGGGTCTACTCCATATGTAATGTTGGGACACTGAATATACTTTGCATTTTCTCTTTTAGGGTCTTTTGTGAAAATATGTAGAAAAATATTTTAGAAAATATTAAATACTGTTCAGTAAGTAAGGTCTGGGTTCTGTTGTGCTTCTTTTGAAACCTGTATTATTGATACTTGCACTGAATTTGTTTTGTTTTTTACAGGGGCCCCAGTGAGGAGAATGTTCCTCCCCGTGAAGCAAGTGACAGATTACAGATCTTTCAAGCCAAATTTGATGAACTATGGAGGAAGTATATCTCTCTCTCTGGTGGAGAAGAATTATTTGGTCTTCCTATCACAGGTAGTTTCTCAGGGATATGGATACCTGGTCCTAGGCTATTAAATTTTTCTTGTGAGTCCTACCAAATGCATTTAGTGTTGGATTCATTGTAGAAAAATTCCTTGCAGTAAATTATTATTGTCTTTCCTATGAAGAGCAGCTGTGTGAAATTGGCTCACAGTCTGCACATACATAAACATCAGGTGGAAAAATATTGCACTGTTCTGCGTATCTCAGGGTCCAGCTGCTTAGCTCTCTTGATTTTTCTGTTCAGAGCCAAGCACATCTCCTGTCTGTATTCTTCCTTGTCCAAATTAGGGAAGCATGTTGCTGAAGTACTCGAGTTGTCTCTGCTCCAGATACATAATACATTCCCTTGGGCTCTGCAACTGATCTGTAATGTCCTTATGTCTCCTAGTCAGACTCACTTCAAGTTTGGAAGACTGTGGTATGAATTAAAGTTACAGCAGAATGTATGATAAGCACCTTGTTTGTACATACTAAATTCAGTATATTTTCCCGTCTGAAGACATATGCAATAATTACATTGTATTTAACTAGGAATTCACAAAAATATAAGAGAAACTAAACAAAACATTTCCATTAAGGAGGTCCATTTTAAACACTTTTATTTTATGTGTTAATAGATACATATATATTTATAACTTTTATATGTTATTGTATAATATATTCTGTATTTTTATTTTTAAAGCACACCCTCCATCCCCAACCTCTGCCTCCAAAGTAAATAGTGCAAATTGAGATGGGGGATGTTTTAGTTCTTGTGTAAAACTATAGTGCATTCCCTTACCATTTCAGCTACTTTCTCAACATTATCTTCCTCACAAGTAGGTGCAGCACCTCCATATAAGATTACATCTACTGTTATAGAAGGATATTTATAAAAAACTCAGCAATATAAACAATTACTGTGCATGAAAATCTGATGTTCTTACATAATGTAACTGGAAAAGTTTGTCTTACTAGATGCTATCTAAAAGATCGCAAGTCTGATTTCAGACATTTATTAAATACCAATTTTAGAAATACACAGATTTTTATGTTCATGAATACAGTTGTACCTAATTAACATTCACAAATTTCTTCTTTTAAAATTTGAAACAGAGTATCCTGAACTGAACAAAATTAAACGTGAACTTTCATTGCTTCAGAGACTTTACAGTCTTTATAATTCAGTTACTGCTAGTATTGATGGATACAATGAAATGCTTTGGAGTGATTTAAATATTGAAAAAATTAACAGTGAACTTCTGGATTTTCAAAACAGGTAAGTTATTATTTGTTGAAATACGTACACTTTTTATTTCTCAGTTTTCTGTGTCAATTAACTTGTGAAAATTGCCCTGAGGGACAAAAATCTGTTGATTTATTTCAAGTTCAGGCTTGCTCAGATGCTCAGCACGGCCACAGTAGTTGCAGACAGTGGTGCAATATGCAGCTAGTGTGTGATCTTACTAACCTCAGTCTATGGGTCACTTTAGGCTTGTTGGGGTATACCAACATGGTAGGTTGTAACATATTTAATGAATAAGGTGCATAAACCTGTGGCAAGGGGGTTGTAAGTATAAATAACCTTCATTGCTGATCTTCAAATATTACCTTCTCTGGGATGTTAGACAAAATTTTGATGTTACTGTCTGCATATGTGCATTTGTGCTTGTTTTGACAAAGGTAGCCACACTAAATTCTGAAGGGTTATTATGAGTTTTGAGAGGAGGAATGTTTTCCACATTACATGCAAAATAACTGTTTGCTGATAACAGCAAACCATGCTTTACTGAAATCGGAGGAATTTTTCTACTGCATTGGTAAAGATGCTCCTTTGGTTTTTCAACAGCCATGGCTGGGTCTGCAAGACTTCCCTGACCCAGCTTGTTACTTCTCTCAGAGGCAGGGGCTCATGAACCAACAGGATTTGGATTGTTTCCCCTTTGCCAGTTTTCTTTGAATTCTTATTCCTGGCACTGGAGTATGGACAGAATTGCTAGAAAAGGGGAATTTTGTTACACACAAAAGTGGAGAGTCTAGATGCAGGTCTTAAGTATTCTGTGCATCCATTCCTTCAGAGTAGTTATCTGTCCCAGCCTATGTTTTACTGTTAATGGGAATTATAGAATATACATGAGAACCAAATTACATGCAAAAATTGGAAAATAAATGTGCAATATTTTTATCCTATGCATATCATTTGGCAAAAAGATGTGAACTGTCTGTTTTCTTCTTTTATTATTTTTGTATAAACATTTTCTTTACCACTTTACACAGTGGCTCACTTTCTCAGTGAGTTGTGTCGAGCCAAGTTCTTGCTCAATACAAAGAGCTCTCTCTTCTGCAGAATCTCTCTTCTGGAACAGCCAGTGTGTGTGTCTCTCTGCTTCACCAGTAATTCTGATAAACTTTTGATTTTGGATTCTCCAGTGTGACCTGAGAGAGGCTTCACTTACATTTTGGTATTATTCAAGAGATTGAGATCAAATCTGTGTTTTTCATCTCATCCCAGATCTTTGAAAAGCATAGGAAAAGTTACTTCTGCTCACGCTTTTTAGTCATGGTATTTTGAGCATGTCACCATTTTAGCAGGGTCCATCTCTGCATGCACTGAAGAAGCGGGGTGGAGATTTTTTTCCTTTTCTGGAAAAACTGAGCGAACTGTCTTCTAGTCATTAATTTGAAAAAAACCACAACCCTTATTTTTTTAAAAAATAATAATAGTAAAAATTAATGTAGGTAATATATACTTCTGCATTTGGACAATATCTATAAGTCTTGAAATAATTTTAGTAGAATTCTGGAATCTGCATCATCATTTTTTCTGTCGTCACTTACATTTTACAGATTGGTAGGACTCTATTTATGCTTCCTTCTCCTGGAACTCTGAAGGAAGCCGTTGCATGACAACAGTTTTGAAAGTTATGTTTTTCTCTTTGTACTTCATGTGTGACTTTTTTTTCCTCTGAGATGTTGAGCTATATTTGGAGCAAGGTGACCACCAGTAGGCAGTAAATATTTTTTGTAACAGAATTCTAACCCAGTACTATCCTACCGTTGGCAGTCTTGTTAGCATTATTGCATCAAGCTATTCTCTTTAAAGCTGGAGAAATTTAAACATTGTACAGGGGTTACCCACATAAATAACTAAGATGGTAAGCTGTGTTATGAAAGGAGCAGGAATACTGGAAATGCAATTAATGTTTCAACATAATTGTAAAGATATAAGTAGTTCTTTAGTGTAATGTTCTTTTTTTGCTACCCCTTTTAAAAATAGTAATATAATGGAAAAGTTAGAATTGTGAAAAGAAGAATCACAAAAATTACTGTAGGTGAAAATAAATCTATTTTAAAAAGAGATAAGAAGAATAAATGTTTAGACAGAATGCATGTGGTAGAAAACCTTACAGAAGTTTACAATAATAGCTAGAGAGTAGTTTCCCTTTTAAGAAGGAAATGTGAACCTGATCAACGGAGTAGTTTTTTAACATAGCATGTAACTCATGGAACTTGCTATTAGAAGATAACACTGAGACCAAGACAAAGAAAAAAGGTATTTATATTAAAAAATTAGCAATTTTCATTACCAAGCTAAGAGATCCCATTTCTGATTGCCAGCCTAAGACAAAGTTTGTAAGAATGTTACTTGATGTGCCTCAGCATAGAAGTAGCCAAGAACTGCCTCTTAAAGCCTTATCCATACATGGCAGAATATAATTTTCCTTTCTTCAGTACTTTTCTCTAGCATATTTAATACTGTCTATTGTTGGATTCAAGATGAAAGACTACAGAGATTATTGCAGTGCCATGACAGTATGCGTATGTTCATTTACCTCTTACCAGCAAGCACTGAAGAATTCACAAATGCTCCAGTGTTGTGTGACAGATCTGTCTGATTTTGAGCTGTGAAAAATGGAGAATTTCGTTGAAGGAGTTTTTCATTATGGGTTGGTTTTATGCAGCTTTTAGTTTCTGCCATTGAGCTGTAAGAGAACTGCTGTCAGTCTTTGGTCCTAGCTTTGGCAGATGAAAATTGGCATGACTTGTTAGAAGCAAGTGGAGCTGTGACATTTCACAGTACAAGAGGTTCTTAATTTTCAGTTCTTTTAATCTTGAAATTGTGCATAAACAAAGATTTTTCTTTAAATATCTTTTGTGCAAACTAGATATCTTGTTTGATTGAAACAGAAGTATTTTTCTGCTTGCAAGCAGGTCGGTTTTCGGTTTAGGATGCACTTTCTTTTGCTTCAAAAAATATGTGTTGTTTAATCCTTTTTCCCCTTTTGCACAATCAGATGCCTGTTCAAATTTTTAATAAAACAATGACACTTCAAAAGCTTAAGTTCAGACATGGGTTTGCACATGACATTTACTTCCTTTTATTCAGACTGAAAAAGAAACCAAACCATCCTAGTGTGTTTTTTACTGTCTTTAGCAGTGTTTCATGCCTGCAGTCAGAAATGATCAGCTATATATTATCCTGCCAATTTGCAACTAGATTTTTATTTACAGTCTACTGGTCCACTGGTTGAAAAATGAGAATATATTGTACTATTAAATGGTGGATTGTGATGATTAAGAATAAAATATTTCTTCTTTTTTGTGCTCTTTAAAGAATCCGTAAATTGCCGAAAGCATTGAAGGAATGGCAAGCTTTTCAAGATCTAAAAAAAAAAATTGATGACTTCACAGAGAGCTGTCCTTTGCTTGAAATGATGGCAAACAAAGTATGTTCAGCATAATAATTTGGAGATAAGATTCATTTGAAAAACTCTATTGAAGACTATGTTGTATGACTATAAGATGCTTTCCATAATTCTTTTTCGTAGATAAAAGCAGCTATATTTATGGCAAAAATCTAGTTAGGCTTAGTTACACAAAAGTAAAACAAAAAACTTCATAATGTGATTAGAAGAACTATTAATGCTTTCAGTGGAATGGAAATCAGAACTCTTCTATTTGTTTAACAGATGCTGTGCAAAAGTATGTGATCATTTTAGTCCTAAAAATAATACAATTTAAAAAAATCTTCCCTAATTCCTATGGACTTTTCTAGGCAATGATGTCACGACACTGGGAAAGAATTGCACAAATAACTGGGCATCACTTTGATGTTGACTCTGAAAATTTCTCCTTGAAAAACATAATGGATGCCTCTTTATTAAAATATAAAGAAGATATTGAGGTATGTGTACTTTTCTGTTTGCTTGCAATGAGTAACTTGTCATCTGGGGCTCTGTGCTTTTGGAATCCTGTTTCTAGTCAGCTTTGTAACATTAAAAAATGTGGATTTAGTTGGAGAATTCTTTTGAAGAATGGAGTTTGATAGCTGGTATTAGTAGTGATGGTTAGTTTATTTCCTTTTTATTCTGGAGAAGGATTAAGTGGATAGATGGTATTACACTAATCCTTCCATAGAAGGAATTCTAGTTTTTTAAGAGTAGTGTGATTCTGTCATGCTTCTGGTTTAGGGTCTGCCTACTCATAATTTTTTCTTCCTTTTACATGTCTCATCAGAGAGAAAAAATAGTTGATGTAAGTTTGATCCTGTTAAGTGCTCAAAATCCTTGGAACACAGTAGAAGTGGAGGATATATGATTAAAGGATAATAAGTTTCTTTTGTATTTCAAAAGTAACTCTTCACAAGAGCACAGCGAAATGAGAAGGCTTCTGTAATGTGCACAAGTTACAAAGCTATTGCCCCCTCCATTTTGGGGACAGTAGTTATCTACCAAGTACATTATCTTTATGCTCGTTACCTTTTGCAAGAACAAAGTATTAAAAATAAAGAAGGAAAACTCAACAGTTTCTAATTTCAGTTCTAATGTCACTTCTATTGTCCCTCCGTAATAGGGACCTGATTTTTCTTGTTCTAGAAGGAACACTTCTAAGACAAAAGCATGAAATCAAACCTCTGCTGTATCCAATTTCTAGACGAGAATTTAAGCCATGTGAATGGTTCAGTGTGATAGTCTTACACTCAAGGAAAGACTTTAAACCTGTGATGGAATCCAATATACTCCTGAACCTGAATTTGAGGTCAAATCTCAGTAGCTGCTCCTTTTGTCTCTGATGCAATTACCAATTTTATGGCAGTCCTGCCCTCACTGTCTTCCAGAAGGAGCAAGCAGTCATGTTGTCCATGTATGCTCTATTCCTGTACTGTTTATTCGTTTTGATTGGTAATGTGTATTTTCCTTAAACCCCTCAGTAGGTATATTTGACTTCAAATTTTAATGCATATAGAGAGGCAAATTCTGCCTGCAGATTCACCGAGTCAGTGAATTTTCAAAAGCCCAAGGTGGTAGTGCTAGTGAAGATGGAGTATAAGCCATAAAATGTTTCAGATACAAGTAGTACTATAATATAATCTAGTTTGTAATATAATAATTTTGAGATGTTTCAATGTATATTTTCATTAGCTAGAATTTACACTGAAGTCTGGATCTAGCCAATGAATTTTAATTGTCTTTATAAGTGTGCATTATATTAGCCCTAGAGGAATATAGTTTACTAGTTTAATTTTACACAGGATATCTGCATAAGTGCTGTTAAAGAAAAGGATATTGAAGCAAAATTGAAGCACGTCATCAATGAATGGAGTACTCATGCTTTCAGTTTTGGCCAATTCAAAACTCGAGGAGAACTTCTTCTGAAAGGATCGGATATATTGGAGAAAATAGCTTTGGTGGAAGACAGCCTCATGATATTGGGGTCGCTCATGAGCAACAGGTACAAAACTTAATAAATGCACATATTGTGTAAATTTAATCAAACTGAGAAGTAAACAATGATCATCTTATGTTCTTTAACTCAACTCCCCTTTAACTCATGTCCATACAGGTATAACACACCATTTAAGTCCACTATACAACAGTGGGTTCAGAAGTTGACCAATACTGCAGAGATAATTGAAAACTGGATTACTGTACAAAACCTCTGGATTTACCTTGAAGCTGTGTTTGTTGGTGGAGACATTGCAAAACAACTACCTCAAGTATGTTGATTTGTGATAACAATATGTTAATAGCAATGTTGTATGTTGTACCAAGAGATTTGCCACATCACAGAGTTTTCTTGCCAGTGCATATAAAGCATGTAAGTTTTGTGGGCTGTGCGTAGGCAGTTCAGAAGAAGTTTTGCCAAACTGGGGTTTATCTGGTTGAACTGCTTAGAACTTGGTCAAACCTACAGGAGCAGCATTGTTTGTAATTCAGGCTCAAATGTTCCTGTCAGCTTGCAATATTAGTGAATCGTATGACAGCACAGGGCTCGGGACTACTTAGTGGTACAAAACTGATGTATCACTTCTACCATATATGCCAACATCCCTTTCTTCTCGTGTGCATGTCTTTATAGGCTCTCAGTTATATAATAATAGAATGTCAGATTTTCTGTATGAATTCTGTACTTGCTAGGACTGCGTATAACTAAGTCCCACAGAGATATGCTTCAAGACTTGGGCAGCTGCATGTGTGCTAATCTGTGTGAACTATTGCAACCTCTTCCAAAGGCAATTATGGCCTTCCATGATAGAAGCTGTGGAAGAGTTAAGGAATGATCTGACTTCCTGCATGAGAGAAATACCAGAATAAGTCATCCTCTCTGGTGCGTCCCCTAATGAGAGAGATGGTTTCATATAGCTCTAACACACCACAGTTTAGTAGCACTGGATCAAGCAGTGCTATAACTTAACAAAGACATGATTATTGGGAAATTGATAAACATGAATTTACTTCAGGCCACATCTTTTATAATTAAAGGCTTACAATTTGCAAAACTAACATTAATTTTTGTAAGTTAAGTAAAGCTTTCTTAACTGTTATTTAAAATAACAATACTTTTAGTTCATGAGGTATGTTTATATTGTTAAAGTTTATTAGAGAATCAATAAGCAGTTTTTGCAGATGAACAAATGCTGCAGCACAGCTGAGGCATTTGTTAACTGCTTAAAGCTACTTCTTACAAGGATGATACATGAACCAGTATTCAGGAAAAAAGCAAATGTGGTGACTGTCTTTAAAGAAGGAGGAGAAGGAACAGCTTGGTGGAGGAGTAATGATAGATCAGTGGGTTTAATTGCAGTTCCTGGATGAATACTGCAACAAATAACTGTCTGTAAGCATCTGGAATCTAACAAGGAGATGAGTAACAGTGTGGATTTGTTAGAAGCAAAACCTGTCAAACAATTTATTTTTAGGGTGGGCAACAAGCTTTGTGGATAGAGGAAAAAACAGTAGTTGCTGTGTATCTTGATAGGCTTTTGACACTGTCTTTCATAGTACTCTTAGAAAATGAGTTTTAGATTGCTGGTGTGCAAAATGCAGACAGAAAAGTGGAATACATAAGCATTAATAACCCATAACTAGAATATTGTACCTGGTTTTGGCTAAAGAAACACATAAACAAATTTGAGAGAGCATAGAAGGTGGTGATAAGAATGAGGAACTATCCATGAAGGAGGATGTACAAGAAAAGATTCAACAAACTAGGCTTATTTGACTTGAAGGAGAGGAAAAACTGAAGCGAAGATGTGATAAGTTTTTAAAAAAATGTGTTGCACTCAACAACAAGACAAAAAATGTGTTCTCTGTACCTATGAATACACTGAGAAGTAATTGGTGTACTCACAAGAAAGATTAAGCTTAGATATTAAAGCAGAGTCACCAGTAGCAAAGATTGCCTGCAGAAGCTTCTGAATCTCCAGCATTGAAGGCCTTTAAACACAAGACAGATGTTTCTGAAGAGTGGCATGGATATGATCCTCTCCTGTGACAGGCAAATGGCTTTGGATGGTCTGTTGAGATCTCTCCTAGTTCTTAGATAATTTATGATCCCAGTAACATTTCATTTGTTGTAGGTGAAGAAAGAGTTTTTAAAGTCAGTATATCCAGTGTAGAAAAATATTTATTCTCCAGCTCCCAGTATTTAAGAATTTGTCTCCTTTCACCTGCAATACCTTTCAAGTACAGCAGTTTCAGACTATTTATACAGTTTTTGATTGTCAGTGTCCTGATTTCAGATGAGATAGAGTTAATTTTCTTCATAGTAGCTAATATGGGGCTATATTTTTGATTTGTGCTGAAAACAGTGTTGATAACCCAGGGATGTTTTCATTACTGCTGAGCAGTGCTTACACAGAGCCAAGGCCTTTTCTGCCCCTCACCCCGCCCTGCCAGTGAGTAGGCTGGGGGTGCACAAGGAGTTGGGAAGGGACACAGCTGGGACAGCTGACCCCAACTGACCGAAGGGATATTCCCTACCATATGGTGTCATGTTCAGCATATAAGGGGTAGGGGAAGAGGAAGGAGGGGGGGAGACATTTGGAGTGATGGTGTTTGTCTTCCCAGGTAATGGTTATGCGTGATGGAGCCCTGCTTTCCTGGGTATGGCTGAACACCTGCCTGCCCATGGGAAATGGTGAACGAATTCCTTGTTTTGCTTTGCTTGCGTGTGCAGCTTTTGCTTTACCTATTAAACTGTCTTTATCTCAGCTCCCAGGAGTTTTCTCACTTTTACTCTCCTGACTCTCTCCCCAGTCCTGCTGGGGGAGAGTGAGATGAGTGTCTGCATGGGGCTCAATTGACAGCTGGGGCTAAACCACAACAGTCAAGTATTACTACTGACAACTTAATCCTCATGACCTGTGTGGAGTAGCCATTACATGACATTGTGTATTGCTATTAGGAATACTGTCATTTCTGAGAAGGGTGGTGTTTGAGTTTTCCGGTGTGTGTTGGAATCCTTCTATATGGACAATTTTAGTGCCCAACATTGCCGCGTTAAAGGGTAAAGAAGTTTTGCAGGAAATAAACACCCTTGTGTTCCAGCTTGTCCTCAGGTATCAAGAGGGGCTGGGGGTGGCTGGGCTTAGATTATGAGTGATACCCAATTTGGCACTATAGGGTCCGGTTGCATTCAATATATTGAACTATCATGATTACAGATGCATCAATAGTGCGAGGCACCTTCAGTCTAGTTGTGTTCAATGGACTAGCATGGCCGTACTTAAGGACTTTGGTTGCGTCCAACGAGAACTCTCATGGCTAGATTAATGAATGGTGCGGTTTATTGAAGCAACAGAAGTACAGGTTCTTTTGGATTGCCGGTGATAAATACACTGTCTGCAAAGCATGTGCAAGTACCAAGAATATGAATAATACAGCCAACTGCAAATATATTAAATTATGAAACAACTCTATAGAGATTTTCTAAGTTTCCTAGGGAAGCACTCGGTATAGCCGAGTGTTCGAATCTCACCCAATAGGCGTTCCTATGCGGGGGGGAAGAGAGATTCAGCCCATCAACTGATCCCTCCCGACTTGTCTGGGATGGTATTCTCCTAACATCCCCCTCTCTTAAGCCATTTTTATACTACTTTCTTACTTTCAGGTGGAGCTTGAGTGACTCTAGTCATACATACTTTTGTTGTGATTGATGTAAAACCTTCTTGTTTGCTTTTAAAGTTATAAAGAAATTCAGAGCACATGTTCAGTGAGGGGTGGTCACACCTTGGAAGTGGGTAGCCTTTGGGATGGAGGTGTGTTTTGGTATTATAATGAGATTATAATGAGCAAGGTTCAACCAAAGGACATGATTTCGACAGAAAATGAAATACTGCTGGCTCAAGGCTGGCTGAGGGTAACAACTATGCAGTTTATCAGTTCCATGGTCCCATTGGTACCATCAAGTTCCCATCCCTGTGGTGGTATCACAGAGCCTGGCTGCGGTGTCTCCACTCTGCTCCACCCTCTGTGCTGTTTTTCTCAGAGCCAGCACACCAAGCTCCCCTGGTGCTTGCCAACATCTAAGGTTGCAGGCCATGTTGCTTATGGAACAGATACTTTGCATATTCACCCTGGAAGTCTCCTCAACACTGCTTTAGTCTCAATAAGCCACCTCCAGTAATTACTCCACAAACATGAAGTAAAAGACATTTCCAGAGCCATCCCATTGGATTCTTTCTTTTGCAATTTGAACTCTGGTCATTATAGGCACTGATCATTATAAATATGCCTATAAATATTCATACATTAGTCCTGCGAAGAAGACTTGAACTGCAAGGAAAATATTAAACTGTTACCTTGTCTCATGGAATTCTTTAATTTTTAGAATTTGACAAACATGAGGAAGAGTTAATACATTTTTCATGTATTCCAGGAAGCCAAAAGGTTTCAGAACATTGATAAATCATGGCAGAGAATTATGCAGAGAGCCCATGAAACATCAAACATCGTGCAGTGCTGTGTTGGAGATGAGACTTTGGCGCAGCTATTACCACATTTGCTGGAACAATTGGAAATCTGTCAGAAATCACTGACTGGGTATTTGGAAAAAAAACGGTTAATATTTCCAAGATTTTTTTTTGTATCTGACCCTGCTCTTCTGGAAATCCTTGGTCAAGCATCTGATTCCCACACTATTCAGGTACAAGTAATAAGGCAATAATGTTCTTATGGTTAATATTAGTAAGTGAGGACCACGGAGGTTTTATTACTTGAGAGAATTTCTTTCACTTACGGAAAGATTTATAGAATCTTCTAATACAGGATTTAAAGGCAAAGGAAGAATGCCATATCAGATCGGCTTATGGAGCTTTTTTTTTTTTCTGATTCTATTGTAGGCACATTTATTAAGTTTATTTGACAATGTTAACCGAGTGGGATTTCATGAAAAAAACTACGACCAGATTTTATTGTTTGAATCTCAAGAAGGAGAACAGGTCAATATTATTGAACCAGTTTTAGCTCAGGTAATGGAAGTATATATTGCAGTTTTTAATGATTTGATTTAAAGTAGATTTATGTTTTAGAGACCAACAGTATCACATCATGCTATTATTTGACTAACTGAATGAAAACCTTCTAACGTGAATAGCAAGAGCAAAGGCCAGAAAGGACAGGACATTTGTGTCATTCTGTAACGATTACTTTACCTGTTTTTTCAGCAGTACAGATGTGAAGCGCCAAACCCATCATGTGCCTCTAAAAGGGCAGTGGAGCACAAGGAGAAGGGGAATCTTTTAGAGATTAGAGAATAACAAAGAGGGAAATGGGAGTACGAAGGACTGGGGTCACATAGGGCTTTTTCTCCTTGTTAATTATTCATAAACTAATTCTTTAAAAGTACTTTCTTGTTCATTTCAGGGCAATGTGGAATTCTGGTTAGGTCAGCTGCTGAATGGGATTAGGAAAACAATCCACACCATCATTAGACAGGCATCAATGGCCATTAGCGATTCAGGATTTAAACTGTATGACTTTCAGGCAATGTTTCCTGCACAAATAGGACTTCTGGGAATTCAAATGATCTGGACCAGAGATGCAGAGAATGCACTGAAGAGTACCAAAACAGACAAAAAGGTAGTATTTAATGAATCTTTGGGGATTAATTAAAAGCATTGTTTGGAACAGTGCATATTGTGAAAAGCTGAAAGTAACATCTAGGAAAAAGCACAAGATACTAGTTAAGTAACCAGAATAATAAATAAACTAAGAGGAAAACAGAATGATAAAAAAATGTGTTAAGAGGTCACACCTCCTCACCATCCCCCAGCATGTGCTTTAGAATTTTCCTAATCCAGTGATTTTCTCTGTTGTTCTGCCAGCACAGTCATCTTGGGAAGGGACAATTTCTCAGTTTGGGAATATGGGGCATCTTATCCTATTACTTTCCCAAAATCAAATTTGGAAAGAAATGAGAGCTCTCAAAATTTGGGAAAATAACTGTGCTTCATGGGCATTTGTCTACTGTAACAGAGTGTATTAGATTCTTGAGTTGATAAGCTCTTTTTTTAGGGAAGGGAAAGAATAGAAGCCATGTGAGGAGGTTTAATCTCAAACACGTAGAGAAAATACTGTTAACACCAAGGTGTTATTACTAACACTGAACCTATGAAGGAGGAAGGAGAGGATGTGAACTAAAGAATTGCAAATTACCATTAATCAAGAATATACAGTTAGATTGGACTAAGAACTAGTAACACCGTCCCTACCATAAAAGTAAATGTAGGGGAATGGTACCATGCTGTACTTTGATACTGAATGAAAATAAAGACTCTAGGCTAAGGAGAAGACCACTTAGTGCTACATTTTCTGCATTGTATAAAGTTTAAAAAGGGCATAGACCTGCTTTTAGTTAACTGCAGTTTATATACTAACTAGACACAAAGATTCATTTGCATTAACTGGAAAACAACTTTTGTTTATTTAGAATGAACTCTGTGTGTGTGTTTGGGGAGGGGGGAGGTTGTTTAGCTCTCCATTAGTTTTGCAGTGTTTCTAGCATTTTTTTCTCACCAAACAGTGTGAGGTTTAGGCTTTGCATATATTTACAGGAAGCTAGTGTGATTGTTCTCTCACACATTTGGAACAGGAGTATATATGAGCTGCCCTTTCTGAAACCTCACCACTTTATAATTTGTTGTGTACCGGGAACATCACTGACAGAGGCTGATGCTGTTTACCTAAGTCAGTATTGTGTAGTCAGTATCCTATTTTGTGGAACTTTGTAACTGAATCTGATGCCACAAAACAAATCATTATTTTACCATTGGCATCTACAATTACACTACATTTCCCCCCTCCTCTGATTAGCAGATGCAATAGAACTCCAAGTTCCTGTTTGCCCCAAAGATGGGGGCAAAACTGCTTGGGCTGATGTGCAGTACCCAAAACCAGAGACTAATGGTTCTGAAAATATGCAGGGATGCAATCAGCTGAAGATATAATGTACAGTAGAAGCAGCAACAGTCTTGGAATAAAATCTTATGATGTGATCTGTTCACAAAAACATAACCTTATTGTACTCCGTTGGGCTAAGAATACATGCATGGAGGGCAGCCTGCAAATCCAAATTTTGGATTCCAAGCCTAATAAATACAAAGTAGATCATAGATGTCATGGGCCCATATGTTTGCAGATTTTTTTTATTTTTTATTCTAAACATTGGAAGAACAAATTATATTTGTATTAATATGGCTGTTATTGCTATGTGGAAAAGGTAATGCACACAACAAATCAGAAGTTTTTGGAACTTTTAAATGATTTGATTGACATGACAACACACAATCTGACAAGAATGGAGCGCACAAAATACGAAACTTTAATCACCATTCATGTGCACCAGAAGGATATCTTTGATGATTTGGTAAGTTCTTGAAAAAATTAAAGGACTTTCTATATGGAAGTTTTTGCACATTTCTCTTTAGGTACCTCTGATATTAGTGCTGTGATATAGCATATCGGATTTAGCTTGATTTCATATAGAAGTCATGCAGAGATAAGAGTGAATTATATATAGGTATATTCATAGGTTCAGACTTCAGTTTTTAAAATGGCTGTTGATCTGCATCATGCACAAATTCACTATAAGCAAAAGAGTTTAACTTTTCAAATTAAACTATTCTCTGAAATTTAAAATTTAATACATTATTTAATTGTAATGTAAAAGGGAAAAAAGTTCCTTTAGTATTACTATCATGTGATTTCCAGCCCAGCCTATGTGTTGATTTAAGGTAATAGTTATTCAAATGTTAAAGCATATATTTGAAAAGGGTAGCAACAATAACCAGAACAGATATTTTAAATTTTTTTGTAAGTGAGTTTCTTCAGGCTTCCTTTAGATAAGTACATGAACACATGAAACTAGAATTATAAAAATGGAAGTAAAATAACTTTCAAAAAGCTTGCATGATGCAAAGGTCAATAATTCAGCACTGCATTGTTTAATTTATGCGTATATGTTAGAAAGATAAAAATTAAGTGCATATGTAAAGAAAGGTAGAAAATCATAAAGAAAAACACTGAAAGTTAGAAAGGAAACTGCCAGCTTCTAAGATAGGCATAGGTTTTATCCTTTGCCCAGAATTTTTAATTTATTTTAATAATTATTTCCTTAATTGGTCATTGTATTATCAATTAATATAATCTATTATAATAAAATTAAATCACAGAAAATGGTTAAATTTAAAGGGTCTGTATGTGAAACAAAGGGGAGGCGAGGCAAGTCCAAAACTGGGGAAAGGATTCTTAATTGGTACATGTAATGTTATCCTTTTCTCTCAAAACATTCTGTTCCCTGCTAAACACATCCTTTTGTGATAGAAAGTAGAGGGAAGTGGCTGAGAATCCAGAACCTCCTCTTACTTTACACCATGTCTACAAGGCCGATAACCAGGACTACATATTCTGTAAGAGGCCTGTGGTTTTGAGATCAAGTGTCAAAAATAACGAATCAAGATCTATTAGTCTGCCACAAATCTATATATGTGTGTGTGGCAAGTTCATACTGAAAATTACATCCCAAATAAGCGAACACATAGACATGTGTGCAATATATTCAGGCATTGTTCATGATTTAGTATTTCCATGAGCAATGGCACCAGATACCATGCAGTGTAACCAGTATTGTTACTTAGCTTTTTATGAGGTTTTCCATCACTGTTCTTCAATATCTCTGTAAGACACAATTCATAATCTCTGGATGCAATTCATAATCTCTGTACACAATTCAGAGGAAAATCAAAGTGGTCAAAAGGTTCAGAGCATGTCATAGACAGGTTTGAAAAGATAATTCTGGATGTCTTGACTCCTGACAGATTCTGTGCTCATTCTTCCAGCTCTTGAATTTATGCGTAGTAGACTTTTTTCTTCTGTACAGAATTTAAGATTGTTCTACTGTTTAATTTGTGTATTAATGATTTTTCTTTTCCATTATAGGTCCGTATGAACATTAAATCTCCATCTGATTTTGAATGGCAAAAACAGTCTCGATTTTATTTTCTTGAAGACTTGGATAAATGCATTGTCCAAATCACTGATGTAGAGTTCACCTACTGCAATGAATACTTAGGGTGTACAGACAGGCTTGTTATAACTCCCTTAACTGACAGGTAGTTATAAAAAGAATGCAGTGCATAGTACTGGAGCTAAGACTTAATTCCTTTAACTTTCACAAGTCAGAATTCTTACTTTGGTTGCACATAGTGCTGCAATATCGACGGTGAACAGCAGAGGCCAGTGCTTTTCTATTCAGCTAGCGAAAGCAGGCACCCCTAGGAGGGGTCTTGAATTCTCTGCGTGTTTGTTTGCTTGGGCTATATGTGCTGTGGTAGGCATTGAAAAACTTACTTGTGCTCAAGATAAATAGAGCTGAATGCCATACACTTCACCAGTCTAAACAGAGTGGATCTAAAACCCAATATATTGCTGCTTTCAATAAGGTAGTAGTTGCATGAGAATTTGGGATTATGGCAAGTGATTCATTTGAAGTCACCCTAGAGGAAAAAGCAGTAGCTCAGGACATAGCATTGAATAACTAGTGCCAATATGGTTTTAAGCAAGGCCTATGGAGAATTACAGGACTACAAACACAGAAAAAGCTCCAAGGGCAAAACATAAGGAGAACTTTTTACTGCTGAAGTGTTACTTATACAGTGCAGTACAAACTTCATTAGATGTATATTTTCCTAAAGTACCTGGTAGTGCTTCAGCTAGGCAAGAGACAGATGTATTTGCTATGCCAGAGCTTGTTCTTTTAAGTGTGGATAGGAATGTCAAAATACCATGCATGTTCAGTCATTTGTTGTGTGAAGAATGACTGCAGACCATTGAGTTAATGTTGGAATTGTCTTTGTACTCTCTGGGCTACTAAATTTTATTTACTGGTTAAATTTCAGGCTTTTGCCAATTTCTGAACCAAAATTATGACCGGTGAGCTATTTAAGAGAACCAAAAATCTGTGCTTGGATACCTGGCTTTTAATACGTAACACACATCTGCCAAATTCTATGTTATGCACCCTACTATTCCTATGCTAGATAGAGATCTGTTTGCAGCAGTAAACATGCAGTTGATTAGTGGGTATGGCAGCGCTACCACACAGACAATATTTTTGCCCACTGGGAGAGACAGTATCAGAAAAATGTTGTGATTCAAAATTTGTTCACAGAATTAAAATGCAATTGGTTAGAGATTGATACAAGGTGCTACGTCACATGAGATTGAAAGCTAGCACAGGGTGACATTATTGAAGAAAATGAGTGTTTTGAATGAGTTTAAACTATAATAATAGCAACAACAAAGAACAGAGGTATCTGTCTTTGCACAAACCTAGAAGAGGCAAAGAGAGCTGCAGGACTCGTGGCTATCCATTGTCATATATTGAAAGAGTATTTGAAGCAGAGATGTTTTCTAGTGTTGGCATGGGAAACTTATGTACCTATGCAGTGCTGCGTAAGAACAGATTTTATTCCCCTTATATGCTTTTGCCTTTTCAATATTTTTAATATATTTAATATTGCTATATAGACTGGTATGAGCTTCTGACAATTTTCAGGTAATGATATTTTTGCTTTCCATGAATCGGTTTGGAGTCAAGTGCTGTTTGGCTAATGATATTGTGTTCAGAAAGATTCTCGAAACACATGATAAATACACACTGGCAGTAGAACATTACATTAGGATAGTGGGACTGAAATTGCATACTCCTGAACGTCATGTCAGACACAGACCTTGTCATGGCAGGTACAAAAAATGAAATGCAAGTTCTACTTAGGACTTGTACTATGTATGCAGTTTGTCCTTACCTCATTTTCAGTAGCAGAATCGTTAGGAGTGGTATTTTTTCTGCTATTGAAAATGAAGTAAGGACAAACTGTATACATAGTACAAGTCCTAAGCAGAAGATGATCCTAGGATACATGGGTGCCTCCTCTTATTTCTCTACTGCCCATTACAATCTTCCCTCTTTTCCATTCTCCTCCTGGAACTCAAAGACTAAATGTGGCTGGCAGCATTGCTCTGGTTTGGCATGCTGGTAGGGAAATGGCAAGAACAGGAGCTGCTTCCAGGCTCTGTTCCTTCCTATTGCCAGATCAGAGAGCCCACCTTGTTGTGTTCTCTGGGGAGGGAGCATGAAGATGGGAAAAAAGGCAGAGACCCAGCAGGTCTGGGTGCTGCAGCATTAGGCTGAGTCATGGAGGGAGGGTGTATGATTAGTGTGAGAAAATCCCAATACTACAGTATTTCGGTATTCGACATTTAGAATTGGCTCGTGTGTTTCCTGAGCTGTTGCAGTCATTGCTGTGCTGGACTCATGCTTTTCTGCAGGTGGAGCAAAGGTGCTACCAGCTTCACAGTGTGCAAAGGGGATGGCTGAGGACTTAGCACAGGGAAGCACTTTCATTTCTGCCCCCTTCCCCAGCTTTGTATAGTACAACTGCTGTGGTTACAATAAAGGACTTCAAGTAATAAATGGTAGAAAAAGATTAATAGAACTTTTTGTTCTGTCGCTAGGTGTTACATCACTTTGGCGCAAGCCCTGGGCATGAGTATGGGTGGTGCACCAGCAGGACCTGCAGGGACAGGGAAAACAGAGACAACTAAAGACATGGGCAAATGCCTGGGAAAGTATGTTGTTGTTTTCAATTGTTCAGACCAAATGGACTACAGAGGACTTGGCCGTATCTATAAAGGTAAGAAATAATCTGGTTTGTTCATTTTAGTGTCATAAGTTTTTGTCTCTTCACTAGTGAGTTAGCAATGATTCGTAGGGCATTTTCTTCTCTGTTTCCTCTTATTTCCAGACACTCATCAATTTTTCCCAATATTCGATTATTTCCTTTTTTTGTTTCATTTTTTCTTCCTGCATGCTTTCCAGGTTTTTTTTTTTTTTAATATTCTTGATGGATGTTTCCTATCTTTGTCTTCTTTTCCATGTCCCTTTTAGTTCTTTCTGCTTATTTTCTTCATGCTTTTATCCCACCCATCCCAAGGGGGAGGATATTTAGCCCTCCCTTGTCATTTTTGTATCAAGCAAGACAAACAAATACAGAGCTCGATGATGTTGTGCAAGGCAGGGAAACATGTAAATGGTGCAGTGTCTTATTTTGAACTCTAGAACTTTTTTGAAACCAGGAACATGAGATAGTGGTCAAACTCTGATAACTTTTTATGATAACCAGAACTTTGAAGTCAGTTTTGCAAACAGTGATCAGATGATCCAATATCTGTGGACTCCATTATGTATATTTTCCTTATGTATAGTTACTGTTGGTTATATGGACTGGCAGACCACAGAATGCCACCATTTTCTGTGAGTGATGGGCTCTTAAATCTAACACAAGGTATCATAAATATAATTTTCACTGCTGTGGTATCTCCTGAAGGTTAAAATATAACCTGGAGATCATTTCAAGTTTTAATTAAGAAGCCAGCAAAGAGCTAGCCAAGATTTTGATAGAGCTAACTTTTGTCTTTGGCTTCTTATTTAAGAGCTTAAAAGTATCCAATTAAGCTATTCTAATGGAGATAGAAAGCCTGAAAGGTATGGCAGGTTTGGATTAAGGTGATTTTGTAATTAATTTTGAAAAGATTTTCCGTATTTCTCACTTACCTTTTCTGTGGTATTACTGGGTTTGTGTGTGGCTGAGTTAGATCAAGAAGACCAATTTGGGAATAACTGAGTTGAAAGCAGTACTTGTACTGACTTCACTGGACTACTGTTCTTCCTCCTAATCCTTTTGTTCTTTTGCAGATATTTTTAGGCCTCATTAACTTGTTAACTTTCTTTAATGGCCATATCAAAAAGAGGGAAATGGGAAGAAGTGGAGCAGAGAAAAAGGGGAAAAAATGATTTAGCCAGTTTGACAAGTTTTTCTAATCATGGCTCTGAAGTTTTGTAACTGTCTATGTGTTCTGCAGAGATGCCCTGCTTCTTGCTAATTGAACACATAAGCTCCATTTATAAGAACGTGAAAATAGATAAGCAAGAAACATTTCCATTCTTGTTTTCTTTTCACTGCCTTGGGGAAGGCTGAAACTGGCTCAGAGCTCCTATGAGCAGTAAGAGCAGAAGACAGGTTTCATAATATCCCATTAAATTACACAGGGATGTAGGTTAAACTTTTGTAGAAGCTTATGACTTCTGTACTGAATATACTGTGTTATTGTACTCCTTACCCTGAGGTAAATACTGTGTTTATAACCTAGGCCAGATCATTACTTAACAAGAGAGAAGATAGTTACCTAGTGACCAGAAGCTATGGAAAGCTGCTCATTTACATAATACCAAACAAACAGAGGAATCTTTCTAAGCTATAAACTGAACAAGCTGCACATGTGAATACCTTCAGTCAAGGTCATGAGTTTCTCAGGGCATCTCTTTCTAACTCCCAGATCTTTGGGCCAACTTTTAGTTGCATGTCTTTTATCATGCATGCAGACTTTTAGTGTCCCAAGTTTACTTTATTTGTTGGTAATAAACAGAAGAGGGCTGTGACTAGCTTGCTGTCTGAATAAGCATGAATATGCTCGTAACACTGAGCGCAGTCATCTACTGGGTCTCTGCTGTACCTGCAGTCAGCAATCAGGAGGGGGGATGTCAGCCTTTGTTTCTCCTTGGAGTGGGTTTGTCTTTGAGGTCACTAAGTTGTTGTCTTTTTCCTCTCTACTCCTTCTGTGAGAATGTTTGTATCTCTTTATGTCATCACCTTTTTTCCCAACTCGTAGGTGATCTCACTTCTTTGTATTAAACTGTTACTGACTTGTGTCAACCCAGACGTCTGGCCTCTGTATCCTTGCTTTGTTTTTGCCTTCTTATCCTGAGCAGTTTGGTAACTTATCCTTTGTCATTTCAGATTGAGGTGATAGTGATAACTGCAACTTGTCATTGCCTTCTTTTAGTAAAACTGGGCACAGTTATTATGTCTTAAGAAGATGAGCTGAGTTTTAGGGCTCAGCTTCCTTTGTCTGTTGTTTTCTATAAGCTGACCATTTTCCATGCCGTATTGTCATCATATGCAACAAAAGCTAAGTAATGCTGTGTAATGTGTCCTTGTTATCTGGCTGCCTCATTTAATGGCGTGCTGGTGTTCAATATGAGTTAGAAAAGATGCTTATAGAGCTCAACAAATTGGTGCTGAGGCAAGCATGATGCCTGTGACTGCTTACTTCAGTCAATTTGCTAGTGGGATGGTGTTGCTAGGAATTAGGTAATAGATCCAGCTGAATAGAACCTGGATAGGGTGATTTTTTTTCAGCATTCATCAGAGTGTTGTGAGTCTGGGAGGAAAAGTATGATTCTGTTCTTACATAAGTCATTGATGTTTTCATTTGTGAAGGGCACCAGTTGCTTTGGACTTATTTTCACAACTTAGAAGGGCCTGGCTTGGAATCACAATTTTTATGTTGAAACATCTGTAAGGTATCTGATATTTCTTGAAGAGAGGATATACAGAAGTTCGGGAAGGAAATGACCTCTTTTTTGGTTTAATAGGAGGAGCAAATTGAGTTTAGAGAAAGAGTCTTTAATGCATATGAGATCTTCAGTGGAAAAAAAGGATAGTTCTTCACAGCTGTAGAAGGGCTTTCATGCAGACTGATAAGAAAGTTCTCATGAAACATACTACATATTTTAGTGCACACATTGAGAAATTCTTCAGAATTCCACATGTCTGCAATAGGCTTTGTACTCCATCACCAGTGTTTTCTCTTCCAAACTTTTCACTTCATCTGGTGCTGTGGGTCAAGTTGTCAGATGTTAGCAGATTTAGCAGTGAGGAGAAAAATGGGGTGTGGAAATGGTGGTGTCATGTCTGCAGCCATGTTTCCAGATTTTTTCTGTTAGGACAATAAGTTTGATCTTCAGAATAAAAAAAATAGAAAAATATAATATAATATAATAA